CTTCACCATCATCAGTAAATGGGGGTGAGGGCAGTTGGGACTTTGCCGTTGTCAGCTTCTGTGCCTGAGGTAGAGCTGCCTACCTGTGAATTGGGGCTGAGCTGAGGAAGGCAGCTGCAGAGTTTGTTTGCATATGCACCATGGGGTTTGAGGGAGGGGGAAGATGAGAAAAGCCAGCAGACCTGCCCTTCAGGGTGAGATACCCTTGCCTCGGGACTTAGGGAGAGAGGGAGGTGTGTGTCTTGGCTGTACCCACACAGAGTGGATTTTTCATTCTGAGCTTCAGGTAGGAGAGTAGCAGTTGGAACAAAGGAGAGAGCAGGCTGTGGCTCAAATGCCATAGATTCTCACTATTCTTACTGAGATGAAGTGTATTTTCTTCAATAAATGTTATTTCATTTGATGTGTATCCTGGACATTTTCCAGATATTTTAAATTGTGGTCTTTATTTTTTATAATTTTCACCAGTTGTGGTTGTTTCACTGGAGAGAAGATTGTGGAACTCCTCATGCCGTCATTCCAAAAGTTGTCTCAGTCTCATTTTTTTTTTTTACATAAAATTGCTCCTGAATTATAGATGATCCCAAAATAATGCAGCTTTAGAAGTCTCTAAGGGTAATTCCAAGACTATATATTATGAGAAAAAGGTTTGATTAAAGAAAATTCTGCTACTCTTGAGACAGCATAGTAAGAAACTAAGAAAATTCCTTGGCAAGTGGAAGAGGGAAACTGAGATAGCTGAACAAACTGGCTGAGCAGTTTACAGCCAGATGCAGAAGGTCACCTCCCCAGAGATAACATCTAGGCCTCAGCTGTGTTTCAGCTCCAGGCCCAGAAAAGCAGCAGAGCCAGGTGTGGAGGCTAGGGCTGACTGCAGTGATGAAGAACCCCCTGCCCAGCACTGACCAATCTGCAAAGACCATGACCCCGAAAGGACACACCTGGAAAACGGGTGCATATTCTGTTGAAATCCTCCCGCGCCCTCCCCTAAGATTCTCACCTGAAGAAAGAGATAAAAGCCTCAAGACAAAGGACCCAGTGCACATTCTCCCTCTGGGGAGCAGCCTGTTGCACTCCTCTCCCCGCTTCTTCCCCCTCTTCTTCGCCAACAGGCACACATCTTCTAAACTCTAAGGCAGTGTGCGGTGGCAGCTTGTCCCAGGCCAACCCTCTGAACCTGTCCCCAAGGCCCCCTTTTCTCTGTCTTCCCACGAGCTGAGGCAGCCCAGCTAAGGCTCTCCTGTTGCTTTTGCTATGCTAGGCCCTTCCTTGTTTCACTGTCCCCAGCTTTAATAAATGTAGCCTCTTAGTCACCTGGACTTGTGTTGTGAAATCTCTCCTGCACAAAGTCAAGAACCCATGCGCTACCAGCTGGCCCTAACTCTTGCACTACATATAAGCCTTACAAGTTTATCTCATGCCTTTCTAGTTTTGCATAAGAGAAATTTCACTTGGACCAGGTACATTTGGGGAGCACTTTGGTGATTTTTGGCCTGATCAAAGACAGGTTTAGAATATATCTATGAATTTCTTAATTCCTGTATAGTCACCTCGTACCTTCTATGAAAATTGTACTTTTTAGGAACAGTGAGTTCAGTGACTACACATTGCTACTATCCTTATCGGGGCCATGGTGTATGGTGTGCTCTGTGCAGGCGCACCGGGCCGAGGGTTGAGTGGAGAGCCGAAATCTACTCCGTGTTCTCGTCGTCATGTGCAGGCTTCTGTGTTATTTTGGAGGCAGGGATACCTTAATTGTAGTTCACACAAAAGTGTCTTGTGGGCTTGCAGATTTACTGGCTTTGAAGGATTTTTCACTGCTTGGGTAGTGGGGGAATAAGACATGAACACTATTGTCTATATTCTAAGACTAGACATCTAAAAGATATACTATTGGAAGTCAGAGAGAGTGCTTATTTCTCATAGGAACAATAGGAGAAGAGTTTAGGGGAGGAGGTGGCATTTGTTGGGCCATGAAAAGGATGAGTAGCATTTTGACATCTCAGGTAAGAATTAGCAGAGGCATGCAAATAGGAATGTTCATACATCTTTGGGTAACAAAGCAATATTCTGTTTTGCTTTGTTTTTAACATTGGTGAATATGGGGCAGTACAGAGAACGCGGCTAGAGAAGTAGATAAGGCCAGACTTCTAATGGTCTTTATTTGGTCATCTGAGAAGTTTATTTCCTAGCGTTAGGTAGCTGTGAAAATAATAATATTTTTGCTTTTATTATGTCAGAGGAATGAATAACTTGTTGAGAGCTGTGTTTTAGGCGAATTCATCGGGCCACAGGATTCAAAATAAAACTGTACAAGGCATTTCAATAGAGAGAACTTAGTATAAATTTTTACTAATGAGAGACAATTGAGTACAAATAACCAGTATAAGGAAACAGCTAAATAAGTGTTGGAGATCTGAAAAAGCAAAAGATCACTTAGGCCACCTAGAGGTAATGACTGCAGAAGGCAATTTCTACCCATATCGCAGGAGAAAGAAAAGGAGGAGATTTGCTCATTAGAATCAAAAAGCTTAGAAAAGAGGCTCCATGGAGCTAGAAGTCAAAACTCTAAGGAGGTGGGTGCTACTCAGCTGCTGCTCATTCCTTAGGACTCAAAGCAGGCAGTGTCATGGAGCTGGGACGTAGAGCTCTGAGGGAGCGGTCTCTGTCCACTTCATATGGATACTTAACAGAGTAAGTTAGAAACTGCAGCTGCCAAGGTACAAGGCTGTTGTTGGGACACTTTTGACAGGAGTAGAAAGCAAACAAAAATGAGAAAGTCCATTCTCTATACCTCTTATCTCTCGTCTCCACAATCCCCATCACTCCTCTATCTCCTTTTGGTGAATCTTGAAAGGAGGCCAGAAAGCAAGAGAGAGCTGTTCAGAGTTCCTACCTCAACATCATACACAGCTGAAGACAGTTGGGTAGATTTGGAGTTCAGAAAATATGGATTAATAACTAGCATATTTGGGGCAAAACAAAAGCCCTTGAAATGGGTCTCAATACATACAAGAATTGAGTATATGATAAAAGCAGCATTCCAAACCTGGAAGAAGGAATAAATTAGTTAATAAATAGGTTTGAGACAAATTATTTTGGATGGTGGGGGGAAGGATGTACACAAAAGTAATTTTGTAAACAATTTAACTGAGAATACCTAGAAGCAGATAAAGATGAACATTGAACAGATTGCGCAAATGGAGATTTTAAAGCATGAAAGCAAAGGCAAAGCTCAATAAGAAAAGGATATATTTAGTATTCAAAAATTACATATGTAAAAATAATTTAAAAACTTAGGCAAATGACATGTAGAGGGAAACATTTGGAAAATAGAGGAGAGATTAATATCCTTAATATCCAAAGGACTTCTAATTAATAAGGAAAATAAAACAACCTCAGTCAAAAAAGGGCAGAAACAAAAAACGTGACCATATAAAGAAAAAAAAATGGCCAATAAAATAATCATCAAATTTGATGAGGATATTGGGAAAACAAATATATTCATGATAATGGAAGTATAAATTGGTATAGTCTTTCTAAAGGATGTTTATCAGTGTATATCAAAAACCTTAAAAGTAATTGTTTCCATTGAAAAGAGATTTATTCTGAGACAGTAGGTAAGAAAGCAAGGATGATTGTAGACGGAGATGAGTTAAATCAGTAAGAGCCTGTGTCTGACAGTTTTGCAGTCAGAAAAAAGCAGAAGGCTCTGTTGGTGTGAGATTCAGAATGCTGCTGTGGGTGCTGTAGGGAACCAAGTAGCTTTATATGAAAGTAGTCAGGAGCGATATCTTGTTAGCAGTTTGCTGGCATAAGTATATAAGCGGGCTGTTTGATTTTATGACTTTCTCCAGTGACAGTAAATATATCAGAAGTTGGAATGGGGAAAATGACTTATGTGAATGCAAAGAGAAACCTGTGGAAGATCAGATCCATGAGGCTGTCAAGTCACTGTATAGCATCGCCTTGCTGATGGCCCCAGAAGCAAGGAGACTGAGAAGCCACAGAATTAGTATGTGTCACTGGAACCTGATTGGTGTTTTCTTTTTCTGGGGCTGTCTGCACCGGGGATTACCAAAGGATTATTGGCTCTCAGAATAACTTGAATTCATTCCGGCTCATACCTCTGATGCATTGTGGCTTCTGACATCGGGGATACAAGGTCTCGTTTCATTAGGCCTTGGTTTGCACTGTATGAACAGAATAACCCTCCATTGTAATAATCCCATTTTTAACCTTTTTATAAACTCAGGTCTATATGAATGAGGATTCCCGCCCAAAACTGAATTTATTTATAAAAATTGGTGTATTTATTCTTACATGTTTACACCTCAGTCACCTTCAAAGTACTCTCCATTTGAGGCAAAACAACTATTAGGGCATTTTTTCCATTACAGTTTTTCAAGTCATCAATTTTGATGCCTTTTAGTGCTTGTGCTGTTTTTTTTTGTTTTATCTCTTCCACATTGGCAAAACGTTTCCATTTGAGGACTGTTTTCATCTGGGGAAACGAACAAAAAAGTTGCTCCAGATGAATAAGGAGGGTGGGGCATGAGGGGTCATGCTTTTTTTTTGGTCAACCGCTGAGCATTCAGTATGGTGTAGGCAGGTGCACTCATAAATCACCCATCATGAAATGGGCAAATGTATTGAAAGAGTCTTCCAAAAAAAAATCACTGAAGCCAAATGCAGCCTCTCATGTCAATGATAGAGATGGTACAATGATAGAGATGCATTCCAGAAAACTCAGCTAGCAGGAAAAGCCTTGTACTACAGGAGGCCCACCCTACAGAAGATAATTTCAGGGGCTTTTTGGTCCCCACTTGTATTAAGTATAAGTCAGAATAGTTTCACCAGATGCTTGATTGAAGGCAGGAATTGTTCTTCTCTATTCCAGACTCTGATTTTTCAGTCCTGATAATTGCTTCTGTCTCAGGAGTTTTTTTTATTGTAGACCAATAGTTCAGATATAAATATGTTTATAATTCTGTTTACAGGAGAGCCTCCATTCTTACCAGAATCTTTTGACCGAATTCTTCTTGATGCGCCTTGCAGTGGAATGGGTCAGAGACCCAACATGGCTTGTTCTTGGACTTTGAAGGAAGTGACATCGTATCAGCCATTGCAGCGCAAACTCTTTACTGTGGTATGTGATAATACTTTTCTGTGAAAGAAAGATAGGCTTCACTAGCTCGATGTTTAAAAGACTGAAAGCAGTGTTCATAGACGTGTTATTTTCAATAACCGAAGTGTGGAAACAACTGAAGTGTTCATCAACAGATAAATGAATAAGCAAAATGTGGTATGTACATACAATGGAATATATTCAACCTTACAAAGGAATGAGATTCTGATACGTGTTACAACACAGATGAACTTTGAAAACATTTTGCCAGACACAAAAAGACAAATATTGTTATGATTGTGTTTATACAATATAACTAGAACATGAGAATTCGTACAGACTAGTGGTTACCAGGTGCTGGAGGTATGAAAGAATAAGAAGTTATGGTTTAATCAGTGGGTACAGAGTGTAAGTTTGGGGTGATGAAAATCTAGAAAAGCATAATGATGGTGGTTGCCTAACAATGTGAGTGTAGTTAATGCCACTGAACTAAATATGTTTCATATGGGAAATTTGTTGTATATATTTTACCACTTAAAACAGGACAGAAAAGGCCTAGTTTTAAATAATGGGGAGCTTTCCTTTATGCTGACTTAATTATAGGCAATAGTAGAATTTCTTCACTGAGATGCAATGAATCTCAAACCTTCTGCTTTATCCTTTGCAAATGTCACTGGATTGTTCACTACTTGATGTAAATAATTATATATAAAACAAATTACTTTTTTTAATGGTGTTCCTGGATCATCTTAGGTAGCAAATTAAATGTGGGAGGTTCAGTTATATAACTGTCTAATCACTGTGTGTACACATAAAACTAATATAATATTATGTCAATTGTAAATGGAAAAAAAATTTGTAAAAGTGGGAACCTCAATAGAAGTGAAAATGGGAAGTGACAGTTTCCAGTGTAGGAGATAAGAGAGCCATAAAAACTTTGCAAATTTAACTGGCCACTAGTACATACCAGAAGAAGCCCAGATAGAATATTTAAGAATTTTTCTCAGTCTTACAAAAATGATACAGTAGCTTTCACAGAATACAGATAACATTTAATCAAGGATTACTTCATTATTTTTTACTCAGATCTTATTATAAGTACATAGGTACCTCAGGTGCTCCCAAGATGAATTCCACCAGTCTTCTTCATGATTTGCAATATTTTCTCTCCTGCATAGCTCTTTAACATTCATTTCTTGTCCTTTAAGTGTGTGCATGTTAAATCACTAGATTTTGTATTATAGTTTGTTTCAAATCTCATAGTTTGCTCCTACTTTCTGTTATCCCATTTTACCTTCCTCTTTTCTCTTATTTTCATTTAAAATTTTGTTTTCTCTCTTGCTCTGACTTGTTCCCATTCTGCACTCTTACTATTTCTCCCACCCCCAGCCTCTCAAAACCATTTATTGTCATTGATGTCATTGGTCATCTCACATTCTTTTTCCTGCTCTTAAAATACCCTTGTTCTCCTTCCATCTTTATCAGTCTTTGCTCATTGGTTGAGGATAGGGTGATTGTTGTTGAATTACTTCAATTTTATCTCTAGACCTTCACTATTTTGGTATTTCAAATCTCAAATTTTACTCTTCTTATCCCCTACTCCATTCTACATCCTTCCTGCCTTTTCCTTTTTTGTGTGTCAAATTTTAATTTTATCCTATCTTAGCCTGGTTTTTCTGTTCCACATTTTTAGTATTCCTTCATCCTCTGTCATCACAAAAACACTTCCCTTTCCTTTAGACGTTTCTTAAGCTTTTCTTTCTTTCTTTTTACCCCTCTTATTCCTATCTCACCTATATTAATCTTAGCTCATTTGTTGTTGATAGTGCTATGGTGGATCTTTTTCTCCAGTTTCGTTCCTATACTATTTATTTATTTTTTCTTTTTCACTATATATATTTTTAAAATTTCTGTGTAAAGCCAATGCTATATGTTTCCCTTCTCTTGCTCCATTCTACTTTTTTCATTCCCTTTTTTATTTACGATATAAATTTTTCTTTTTCTTTTCGCCTTGCCCTGATTCCCTACTCTTATTATTGCTCCTCCCTCTACTCTCTCAGAATTATTTTTCTTTCAGTTAGTCATCCCATATATGTTTCTCCTTTCTTATACTAGTCTTAATCTCTTTACACCCTTTTTAAACTGGCTCATTTGCTGTTGATAGTGTGAATGTGGATGGGGGTTATTTTTGCGGGTGTGGGTTTGTTTCCTGGGCTGTGTGCTTTTGTTCTGGCAGCACCTGCACAACAGCATACCAGATGTGGTGGGTGGAGTCAGCCAGCCAGAAGGAATGCCCCACCAAAGAATGACCCAACAGCAACCAAAACCCAGTTAACAATCAGAGAGCTAACGTAAACAGCATAAAGTTATCCCAAGAGCACCAAGTTCAGGAGATCAAGGAGACTGCACCACTGAATGCCACAGGTCTCCTACTATAGAAGTTCATGCCACAAAGTCAGGGAATCAAAGCATATCAATCTAAGAAGCAGAAACAAGCAAGAAAAGTCACCTAAATGGGGTGACAAAGAAACAACCCCCAATCAAAAGGAAAGGAGGAATCCCACAAAGAGTGCTAAATGAAATAAAGACAAGTAAACTATCAGACACTGAGTTCAAAATAATGGTTATAAGGATGCTCAGTGAGCTTAGTGAGAACTATATCAAACTATACTACAAGGCCACTGCAATCAAAACAGTCCAGTACTGGCCTAAGAACAGACACATAGATCAGTGGAACAGAAGAGAGTCCAGAAATAAACCCATGTCTCTATGGTCAATTAATATTTGATAAAGGGGGCAGAATCATAAAGTGGGGTTAAAATACCCTCTTCAACAAATGGTGCTGACATATCTGCAACGGTACATGCTAAAAAAAAATGAAACTAGACCACCAATGTATGCCATAGACGAGGATAAACTGAACATGGATAGAAGACTTAAACATAAACTGTGATACCATAAAGTCCTAGAGGAAGACATAGGAAAATTTCAAATATCCCACACAGCAATATTTTTGCCAGTACATCTTCTAGGGCAAGGGAAATTAAGGAATTAATTAACAAATGGGACTACGTCAAATTAAAAGTATTCTGCACAGCTAAAGAAAACATCATCAGAATGAAAAGGGAATCATCCGTATGGGAAAACATATTTGCTAATGATACCTCGGAGAAGGATTAGATCTCCAAAATACATAAAGATCTCGTATGATTCAATGCAAGGAAGACAAACAATTCAATTAAAAAGTGGCCAAAGGACCTGAACAGATACTTCTCCAAGGAGGACATAGAGAGGGCCCATAGGAATATGAAAAGATGCTCTATATCACTAGCCATCAGAGAGATTCAAATTTAAGCCACAATAAGATACCATCTCATACCAGTTAACATCATTAACAAATCAACAAACAAGTGCTGGAAAAGATGCAGAGAAAAAGGAACCCTAATGCACTGCTGGTGGGAATGCAGACTGGTGCAGCCATTGTGGAAAGCACTATAGAATTACCTCAAAAAACTAAAAGTGGAACTGCCTTTTGACCCATTGATTCCACTGCTGGAATTATACCCCAAAAACCCTGAAACACCAATTCAAAATAACCTGTGAACCCCTATGTTTATAACAGCATTATTTACAGTAGCCAAATGCTGGAAACAGCCTAAGTGCCCATCAGTAAATGAGTAGATAAAAAAAACTATGATACATTTACACAATGGAATGCTACGCAACAGGAAGATGAACTCCTGTGTTTATTGACAGCATGGATGGAACTGGAGAGTAAGTGAAGTGAAGTAAGTGAAGTAAGTGAAGTAAGACAGGTGGTGAAAGACAAATACGATATGATCTCACCTATAACAGGATCCTAATGAATAAAACAAACTAGCAAAATAAAACCAGAGGCACAGAAACCAGGAGCAAAGTGACAGGGACCAGAGGGGAGGTGGGAGAGCAAAAAGGGAGGCAAGGAGGAGAAGGCTCTTGTTAAAGAACAAGTATAAGTGACCCATGGGCATGGACAACAGGGTAGGGGATTGACTGGTAGCCGGGGTTGCCCAGGGCAGGAGAGAGCAATGGGCAAAATTGGGACAACTGTAATATAACGATAATTTTTTTTAAAAACTACATAAAGGAAAACTTTTGACTAATTAAAAAAAAAAAAACTTTCCATTTCTTTCATTGGTATTTGTCTACTTGTTTGCTCTCTGCTATTAAAAAAAAAGCTGAAACTTTCAAAACAAGTATTTTCTTGCCAATTTATTGAGCCTGCATAGTTTCTTTTGAGAAATCAGCTGACAGTCTTATGGGAACTCCTCTGTAGGTAACTAACTGCTTTTCTTTTGCTGATTTTAAGGTTTTCTTCATCTTTAATCTTTGGCATTTTAATTATGATGTGTCATGGAATGGGCCTCTTTGCAGCCATCTTGTTTTTGATCATGTGCTTCCTGGATTTGCGTGTCTATTTCCTTTATTATATTTGGGAAGTTTTCTTTCATTACTTTTTCAAATAGATTTCCAATTTCTTGCTCCTTCTCTTCTCCTTCTGCCACCCCATGAGGTGAATTTTGGAACACTTGAAGTTGCCCTATGGGCTCCTTACATTGTCGTTTTCTTGGAGTCTTCTGTTGCTCTGATTGGTTGATTTTTGCTTCATTATGTCCCAAATCATAGATTTGATTCTTGGCTTCATCCACTCTACTGTTGTTTCCCTATAAATTGTTCTTTATTTCAATTAGAGTATCCTCCATTTCTGACTGGATCTTTTTTATGCTATTGAGATCCTCACTAAGTTGCTTGGACATCCTTATAACCAGTGTTTTCAGTTCTGCATCTGATAGATTTCTTATCTCTGTTTTGTTTAGTTCTTTTTCTGGAGTTTTGATTTGTTCTTTCATTTTGGCCAGGTTTTTTTGCCTCCTCATTGTGGCAGTCTCCCTGTGTTTGTTATTAGATAGAGCTTCTGTGATTCCTTGTCTTGGTGGCATGGCCTAATGTAATAGGTGTCCTATAGGGTCCATTGGCACTGCCTCTCCTATCAATAAGCTAGGTACTCAAGGTGTGCCCTTTGTGTGGGCTGAATATACCATCCTCTTGTAGTTGAACCTTGATTGCTGTTAGCAGTTCAATGGGAGGGATTTACCCAGGCCATTCATCTGCACTTACCACCAACCTCCACCCGCTGTGGAGGATCAGCTGACATGGTCTGTAGCTGTCCACTGGGTGTGCAAGCCCTGGGGTTTCCTGGGCAGTGCATGCCAGGGTCAGCCCACACTTGTGTTCTGCCCAGGGCCACCCCTGCATGAGCTATAAAGCAATCTGAGATGGCTGCTTACTTGTGCTAGGCTTGGAGGTTCCCAGGCGAAGCCAAACTGTGAATCTAGGCTGGCTGCTGCTTGTACTGGGCCTGGGGCCACTTAGCAAGAGGTATGGTGATGGGCGCTCACTGAGGCTGCCAGTTGCCTGTTTGAGAGGATTTAGGAAGTTGTAAAGCATGAACCAAGACCAGCCATTCATATGAAAAAGCCACTGTTAAGAGCTTGTGTTAGCCCTGTAAGTTCAGTGTGACAGAGCCTCAGGGGATCCCAACGGTGGGGCAGACAGTGGTAGCCAGGTTGATGGAGTCTCAGATATCGCACCCACTCACAGGCTTTGTAGCTCTGTGGGGAGAGGGTTCAGAAAAGGGACAGTGGCCTCTGCCTACCTCTCTGGAAAAAAGCTGTCCTCCAGCTCTTGACTTGATGCCAGAAACTTTAGTTCCCCCCCGTATGCCACTGGTGGCTTTCCAGCTGTTACCCCAGTGCAGCAGCTCAGGGGGTGTGAATCTGAGTAAGTCTGTGTATGTGGGTTCTTTAAGAGGAACTGCTTGGGGGCTTTAGAAGTTTCTTCCACCAACTCTATCCCCACTGGTTTTTGCAGCCAGAAGTTATGGGGACTAATCTTCCTGGCACTGGAACCCTAGTCTGCAGGGCCTAGTGTCTTGCTGGCACTCCTCACTCCTGAGATATCCCTCCCAAATTTTTATCCGCCACACATGGATGCAGGACCCGCCCATTCCATGTCTCCACTCCTCTTACCAGCCTGAATGGAGGTGGTTTCTATAATTCCATAGATGTTAGACATCCATTCCACTCAATTTCTGATGGTTTTGAGTAATAATTGTTCTGTAGTTTAGTTGTAATTTTGATGTGGTTGTACTAGAAGGCAAGGGTTGTTTATCTACGCCTCCATCTTGATTGGAAGTCTCACGAGTATGGAATTTAGAAAGAAGATTGGCCTAAAACTATAAATTTGGTAATCTAAATTCGTGAAAGCAAATGATTATATTTGAGAAAGTCTTGGTTCAAATGGGCTATAATAGCTCCAAGATAATGTAATGTATCTAGTTTGGAACATCTAATTAGGAAAAAATCCTGGTCATACAGAACATCATTTATTTATCCCAGATATTTGAAAGGTATCATATAGATATAAAATTCTTTAAAACGTTTATTTAGCCTTGTGCTACATGTAATCTGATCACATTTTCCTTTAGGCAGTGAAGCTGCTAAAGCCAGGGGGAGTGCTGGTGTATAGCACGTGCACAGTCACACTAGCAGAAAATGAAGAACAAGTGGCGTGGGCCCTCACAACATTTCCCTTTCTTCAGCTTCAGTCCCAGGTAAGAATTAATTTCATTTCCTTAATGTGTATGATAAATCACAGAACTTAAGAGCAGTGATTTATACAGCCTATTTTATGAAATATGTTAGGTAAAACTTTTGAAATAAATACTGCCATAAACAAAAATGTTTCCCTCCTTAAATCTGTTTTATACTGCCCATGGAGAATTTCACATTCTTCAAAGTTTTCCCTATGCTCATTCCTTGTAATTGTGTTAAAATGCTACAGAGCTCAGGTGTATTTTTGTTAGATCTTTCTTTCACTTGTGGCTCTGTTCATGTTGCTCAGAATTTTGTTTTCAAGAAGTGGTTTTCCACTTTCCAGGCACAGATTTTTCAAATAAGGAAAATTTTGAGCATTTTTGCTCACATTACATCAAAGCCCAAGCAGGCTTTAAAATAACTAGATATCAAAAGACTAACCAAGGTGGGGAAATAGTTCAGGATTATTGCTTCTTTACAGTTTCTTATGTAAATTATGTAACATTTTAAAAGCCATCTTGTACTTTATTTTACCAAGCACTGTCTTTCTGTTACAATGTTTATTAAAAAGATGTTTATAACTAGATTTTTAGCCCTTGATCTTCGAGATTAAGTTTATATCTATATAATGCTCACATTCAGATACATTAAACATATAGCTTGAATACCTTTCTTTATAGAACTTTAGTAGGTAATTGGAATACATAAATTAAAAGCAATTTGGAGGTGGTTTCTTGATGCAGAAATTAATTTCATTGTAGACAAAAGGAAGACTTCAGAATTAACTTAGAATTTTGTGTCTGTATATAAATATATACTCATGTATATCCAAAAGAGATTCCCACCTCCCCACCCTGGATTAATAATTGATAGCTTTTAAGTCATATACCTAAGAAAATATATCTTCAGTAACACACAAACATTAATCTGTGAAATGAGGACTTAAATTAGGATTATGGATTTTTTGCAGTAGTTGTTTGCAAGTATTGCTGATAATTCTTTATTCTTTTCTAAACAGATTGATGCTGTCTTAATTATCTTTTTTGATATTCCAGTGCATTTAAAAACAACAGAAACTTTTAACCACTTGGTATGTGTGTGAGACAGGCATCTTTAGAGGCCTAAGGGACTCATGTCAGTTTGGGGGAGTCTTATAAATAAAGCTGAATTTTAATCTATTGCTGTTATTAATAACGTTCCATTTATTGAGGGCCATATACCCCTAAGTGCCATCCACTATATGATACCACCTTCTTTATTTAAGCCTCTGATCTGAGTATTTTATCTGTTTTATAGATGAAGAATCAGGTAAAGTTGCTTGCTTCAGGTCACATAGCTAAAATATGGCAGGGCTGTGATTTGAATCCATATATTTTTAACTATGAAGCTCAGGTCCTCCTTTGTTCTCTCATGGTATTTGAGAAGCATATGAGCTGTAATAGGTATTCATTTTTCAGGTGACCATATATTGATTGCTCCTTTTCCACTTCATTACTTGGGAAAATAGTACATTTTACAAAAATAAAAGCTATTTACTCATTTTTCTATTTTTGGAACTTGTGGTAATTACAGCTGAATTTTTCTTTTAACTTAAAGTGTGCACAGGCACACACACTTACTAATTGTAGGCTGTTCATGCATATTTATTCATTTCTTCTAAACAGGAACCACAGATTGGAGGAGAAGGCATGATGGGAGCTGGCCTGTCATTTGAACAATTGAAACAGCTGCAGCGATTTGATCCATCTGTTGTGCCATTGCAGGACATGAACATTGATTCTCTCAGAGAGGCCAGAGTAGAAGACATAGTTTGGATGGCAAATAAGGATTGTATAGGTTTTTTTATTGCAAAATTTGTAAAATGCAAAAGCATACAGGAGGACAATCCTTAGAAATGAAAATTCCAAACATTTGCTCTGTGTGTGTGCTTTTTAACTTAAAAACCAGTCTGTTGTCAGGCCAAGTGATTGATGGCATTGTTGCTAAGGAAACAGAAGAGGCTGCCAGCTGTTTTACCAAGGATCAAAAGACGCAGAGGAAGTAATCATGAGAGTGGTCCGAGGTTATATTTTGTAATTTCAAAATAACTTTTCCTTTTGAATTTAGCAGAGTTTGAAGAAAAGTAGATGCCTATAGATATCTGAAACATTTTTATTTGGGGTTTTCTGTTTTAATTTGTAAAAAATGCAAGTAATTTATAATGGTAATCAGTGACTCTAACAAGGGAAAAAATTAGCAATATTTAATTTGAGTATAAAAAATAACTAGTTTTCATTCCTGAGTGCCTAAGTAGTTCCTTAAGAACTCAGGGTATGGGAAGTATGACATTTACCATGGGCCAATAACTGAGCTCAGTGTTTTACTTTTTTTTTTTTTTTTTGCGCTTACTATTTGATAAATAAACCCTCTTTCAAATGAAGTCTGGATCTCTTATAAATGATATTTTGCCTTTACTGTTTTTTTCCCCATGCTTTTAAACTGAAAAGTAAAATGAATCTTTTCTTCACGTTGTAGAATTAAAAAATGAGAATATTCTACAATGTCAGTACCTTTTACCATCTGTTGGAACACAAGCTGTAACAGTTAATAGAGATGTTACTAGAGAGGAAGAGAAAGCCAGCATCTGACAATTTGGGAACTGGTCTGGCACTTTCAGGTAGGTCGCGGTGTTCTACTGAGCATAGTTTCACAGAACACCAACAACAGACAAGGCTATTGTGATAGATTAAAACACACACACACACAGAAAAACACTTTACAGTCAAATCTGAATTTAGATAAAAACATTAACGAAATCCAGATCACAGAAGTGACCAAACATCTCCCTATAGTGGCCAATGTGACTTTTTAAAAAAATCAATTATAAGCTTACTCTTCATCCTACCTGCTTTTTAGATAAGGTATATTTAAACACCTAGCCCTAATTTAAAGGCTGCCTCATGTAGAGTTATATATGTCTATTTTTGTTAACTTTTATCAAATTATCCCAAAATTCCTGAGCCATGGGCATATAAAGGGGGCAATTGGAAACAATTGCCTAATAGTGTGTCCCCCTCTCCCCATAGGTTTCCATTAGGAATGTCTCATAATCATTATATCCATCAGGATTGCAAGGCCTCCTGGATCAGGTAAGACCTTTTGATGGCCTCATCTTTGAAGAAGTCTCTTTTTATTTGTTTTTTATCTTCACTGGAGGATATTATTCATTGATTTTAGAGGGGGGGAGGGAAAGAAAAACATTGATTGGCTGCCTCCCATATGTGCCCTGAGTGGGGATCAAATCTGCAACAAAGATCTATGCCCTGATGGGGAATCAAACCTGCAACCTTTCGGTGTACAAGACAACACTCCAACAAAGTCAGCCAGCTGGGGCTGAAGAAGCCTTTCCTGAATACCTTCCACGAGGTTGGGTTAGACACTTGTCTCTCTGTACCCCTAGGGCCCATGTCCGCTGGTACTGTGGCACTTCCTAAACATCCTAGTTTGTTAGGCATGCCTGTAACTTCTGCCCTAAGGCTTGGGAAGATCCTGGAGACAGGGACCCTGTGTTTTCTGTCATTGCTTCAGAGCAGATCACCCATAGATGCTTAATGAATGAAGGAAAGAATATTTCAAGTTCTGTTAGATTCAGATATGTGTCTGACTTCTTTACATCCTCATTCTGCATTATATCCAGTAGGTGTCATTTGAGTAAAGAGAAATAGCGTTTACCTGTGCCACTTCTGTTTCTAGGGCTCAGCATAATTCCCCAAATTTTAAATGTATTTTTAAAAAGCTACTACATCCATCTCTTCTCATGCTGTCTTCAAAGCCTTATGTGCTAAGCTGGGATGAGAATGGTAGCAAATGTGTAAATTTTTAATACTGATAAATAGCAAAATGTAAGCATCATAGGCAAAATAGAAGAAAAATATTTGTATATCGAAAACAGGACAAATAAATAATACTGTTAAAATTTTTTCCTTATTATATACATTTCAGTGAGTTTCTTTCCTTCAAATATTAAAGCAAATTGGAAAATAAAACACATTCAATCTTAAAGGACAAAGAAACTTAAGGAAAACATACAATAAAAAGGAAAAAGATCAGGAAAGTGTGGAAGAAAATTAATATATTATCTTTTAACATATTTAGTGTTGACATATATATTTCTGTGAAACAGAAAAAACATTTTAATTCAACAGTGAGTACATTTTACTTCAAAATCCTGTATCACATTTTAGTTTAAATAGCAAAGTGAAGTACAAATAGTTAAAAATATAATTTAGCCAAAATGAAACAACTGACCCCAAACCATTTAGTTACCTTTTTCTCTAACAGGTGTGACTCTTTAAAGTTTTAGTAAGATCAGGGTATCCAAGACTAGCAGCATTACATCACTGAGGAAATGGACAAGGGTGAGGAATTAAATTTGTCATCAAAATGGATCTGCATTTAAAAATGAAGAGTAAAATTCAAAATCTGAATGAAGAGTTGCTGCAAATGTAGTTATTAAGGTGGAGAAAGATTATTCTGCTGTGCTCATACTTAAAAGAGCCTTTACCTACCTTAAGTTATGATTTTATCAGACATAATGGGAAGGTCACTAAAGTAACATCAGTTGGCATTGCTCCAAGGGAAATGCTCCATAAATGGGAAGTGTTGTTGAATATTTAACATATTCTCAACTATAAGAATCATTCCTAAAATCACAACTTATACTCCTATTAATAAACAGTGCAGAAGCCCGCTCTTTACGTGTTTTATGTGAATGCCTTTCAATCAGGTTTGTTGAACAGTTCAATGTAGCTGACAGCAGATGTTTGACAGGTATGTATGTGTAGCAGACCATGTTAAAAATGTGACATTGTCCCAAGTACACTATGACTGAGACACCCTACATTTAGCAGCACCTTTTTGTAACAGTAACTTAAATGAACAGTAAGTAAAGAAAGAGCATAGGAAAAACTGAAGTGCATTTGACCAAAAAAAAAAAAAAAAAAAATTCTGGAGTAGACCTATTAACATTTCCAGCATCTTCTAGGTAGGCTACAAAAATCATGATTCTACAACTAAGTTAAGATTAAGCTTTTGCTGTGTGAAAATACTAATTTTACATTCCACGGGTCAGTAAAACATCCCATTGTCTTGGGCTTATTTTTTCTTTACAAATTTAGTACATACTGTTTGCAGAAATGCTCACTATACAGTTTTCATGTATAGGTGCCCTTATGTCAAATCCTGCAATATAGTTTTCTGAGGAATACTCTGATTTGAACTAGCACATTTCACAGTAAAGTGAAAAACTAAGAATGCAAGTACGGAACTTAAAATAAGACTCCATCAGCACGACTCTTTGAAAAGGATTAATGGTAGTAGCAGCTTAGATACATACCAGTTATACTTCAAGAATTTAAATATTCTGAAGTCATTACTGGGATGAAATAACATGTAGCAAAGGATGGGGCTGGCGATCAGATAAAAAGAAATTTATCTAAATTTCTTAACCAACATCTTACCCTGATGGAAAGATTATCCAAAATATTTTATAAAAGTAATCTTAATTGGAATACAGTTTTCCAACGATGTGACTACTTCACATAAATACATGACTATAGTTTTTATATTCAATAAATAAATTCATATCAACAGTACAGAGCTAATTAACAAATATAATGAATCTGAGGGAAATGTTTCATATTAGCTGATAAAACACTATATAGGTAACCCATTTTTAAAACTAAGTTTCCTTGGGGGGTAAAGGAAATAAGTAGTTAAATGTGAAACAGCTTTACTTATAAAGGTCCAAGAATATTTGGCAAGAATCTGGGAAAACCAAAGAAGCAAAACAAAAAAATAGGTTAATTAACTTATTTAACAAAATAATAATCATATAATGTACAAATCTGAAGTGAGGCAATTATAGATAGGCATTTTCCAGGGACAAACTTCAAGTGTTAGGTACTTATACACCTAATACTGTCTTACCTGTCCAGTCATAACTGGACAAAATGTACACTTAGGAGACATGGAGAAGGTTTTAGCCTTAGCATGACAACCACATTGGGGGCTGCTTACAGCGGTCTCATTGAGGCGTGGAGACAGCATCTTCTGGCTTCCCCTTCAGAGTAGATGTCTGATGTAAGAAAATGTTCTTACCATTTTGTTCACTTCAAATCACCCTTTTGCCCTGATTACTTCTGAAGAGCAGAAACTTTGGTTATAAGAAGCACTTCTAGGTTTTGACAGACAATGAAACTCGAGTTTGTGGCGGGGAATGAAATGATAGGCAAACTGGGAGATAACGGGCACAATAAGCAGGGTTAGAAAAGGAAGTGGGAGAAGTTAGAAAAATTTATTTTCCCACAACATAATTCTACAAGCTGTGTAAACTTTTCTTACTATAACAAATACTCGAACACACACAGATTGTACATTTCCAGTGAAACACTCACAGTTAAAAGTTGCCTGTATTTTTTTGCTCTCTAGGAGTAAAAACAAGGAGCCTACAGATAAATGCTTTCCCAGTCACCTTTGGCAGCACGCTCCCTGACTGCTTGATGATCATTGAAGCAACATGCAGCATGATTCAGTTCAAAGCCAGGTGGGTGGAATTCTAGATATCAGTCTCTAGTTTCTTTTAGTCTTCAGCATACAGATTCATCTCAACCAATCACACACGCACATACTCTTACACACGGACGCACACATTTGTGCACACAGAGTTCCGGCTTGTAGCCTCCAGTGCAGTGACATGAGACACTAGCTACTAAGAATGTGTTTGTCACAATCAGTGTGAGCTGCATGGATTAGAACAACCTTTGGAGTTTGGTTATATTTACCATAATTTATGTCAAAATTATAAACTTACAAGGATGGTAAAACATTCAGAAATTAAACCTTTTCAAGTCAAGCAGTCACACATATTTACAGTATGTACATACAGACTTTCTACTAGAATGGGGATAGGTGCCTAGACGATGTTATTACAAATTTCCTGAATGTGGGCATTTCTAGTCCCTGTAATTCATAAAGCAAATCTGCTGACTTGGCATTAAGACTCTAAAATAGTGTGATCAAACTGATATATATATATATATATTTATATATATTTATATTATATATAATTATAAGAAGGTGTTTGCAGAAATAACATTTACAAACTGTCTATACAGTACACAGTACTAGTACATAGAAAATAGATTCTAACTTTATGATCCCCTTTGTGTAAGGCAAGACTGAATCTGTCCCCAAATTTAGTCAGCCAGAGGTACAAGCAAGAAACAGTGGTCCATGGATGAATGAATATGCAAATCAGGTGCCTACATATTAAAAATATGGAGAATCAAGAAATTCCACTTTTTATCTGGGCCGATTCTGTGTTGCTGGATATAGCAACTACATTTTTTGAAAACATCAACTACATTTCTTAAAATACTAACGCCACCTGGATGGCAACAGATTTTGTTCAAGTGACAGCTACCCCAAGCAGTTTTTGAAAAGTCCAAGACACAACCAGAGGACTGCAGCTGTACCAGGCAAATTTATATAGCACTTATAAAAGAAAAAAGTATATTAATACTCTGTCATGCTATTGCTATTTAAGCAACAGCAATACAAAATATACAAGACAGATACATATGATTGCAATGTCAACCCCAAAGACTTAGATTGAGGGTGATTTATACAAGACTTTAAAGACTTTAAAAAATGAAAACAAAAGGGCCAAAGTCACTGGCGGATGTAAACATCCCTGTTCCACTCCCCAGCCTCATTCCGTTTTTTAGATATTCCTTCTCCATCCTTGTCATAGTAGCGATCCTTGGATTTATGGCGGCTTCGCTGTTTGTTGCATTCGTTGTGGTCCTGCTCTCGATCCAGGTCCCTGGCACGGTGCCGAGACTCCCTGTGTCTGTGCTCACTGCTCCCGTGGGGCTCATCCCTGTGGCTGTGGTCACGGTGCGGGACATAGTGGTCCACATGTTCGTGGGAGTAATCCTCCTTTGGCTCCACGTAGGCAGAGTCTCGGCTCTCCTGGGTTTCTGAGTCAAATGTCTCTTGCCTGGGGAGGCCTCGATTTGTACCACTGCGATGATTGTGGTGCTGGGCTGAGGAGGAAGACCGGTGCTGGGATTTCTTCACTGGTTCCAGGCAGGGTTCTTGTTCAGCTTGGGAAGCAGAACGGGCAGGAGCAGAGCGATCAGTCCTCTGATCACCTTGAGAACTCTGCAGTCGAAGGCAGAAAACACAGGCGTCAACCAGGGTCAGAGTGGGAGGCGCTAATGCATCACAAAACAAGTCCATTCAAGTTGGATTCCTTCTTAAGTATCTAAAATGCTGAAATGAAATCTCAGCTAGCTAAGTCACTTAATTCTTTTGATGATATCTATCTCGTGGCATTTTTAAGGTTTGTACTGTATTATATTGGACTTTGTTAATTTGTAAGTGCCTGGAACAGTACACAGAGTAATCTTTTAATTTAAATAATTAAATGAAGGTGGGAAGGCATTCTTTTGTATGTTGTTTTGTGGTTTAAATACAGATACAGGTTCCTGAGGTTTTTCTACACATGAATGTATACTTAATTACTTCCATTTGAATACGTGTGGGAAGATGAAAAATCCTTAGGAAGTTGGCTTTGGCTTAAGGTAAGGATTAAGGAGAAAAAAAAAAGTGCAAAATGCTTAAATGACACTTTCTATGAGACACGCACTGTTCTAGCAGTCACATTAATTATTAATTCATTACTAAAACAACCCTGAGATAGGTTGCCAGTATCATTCCAGAGGTATCTAAGAGCAGATAAGCAGCTCATTCAAGGTTATACACTTGGCGAAACGTGGAGCCCAGATCTGCAGCCAGGCAGCCTGAGTCCTCTGTCTGTGCTAACTGTGTAGAAAGTTTTTCTATTCCTGTCTTAAAGAACGTGTACTTAGAGAGTTCTAACGTCTATATATTCACAGTATATGGTGTTTACACTGCTTTTCTTACAGGTACACCACTCCCAGTGAAGACGTTTAAATGGCTCAACGTTTGTCTCAGTTTGGATAGAGCCACTCTGCTGGCACAAGCACTGCACTGGATATCAGGGCTTGGATCCCAGTGATGTGCAGCCTAGTTTCTCAACAAAGATGATCAAGAACTTCCCTCACCTGTGAATTAGAGGCTGGAGTGGGGCTAACAGGCAGAGCGGAAGTGGCTAAAGTACGACTAAGGAGAGGGTTGGGGAGACTGCTGCTGGGAGGATGGGTAGCCTTCCAGTAGGCCTCCAGGTAGTCGGCAAGGTGCTCACAAGCATCCTCGAGCTGGTTCTCGTCCAAGATCACATCAAACAGCTCCTGCAGAGGCAACATTTCAGACAGTAGACTTACACCAACCCAGCGTGGCCTTGAGTTCCACACCCCCTACCTCAAGAAAGGGGTGTTTCATGAGCTGCACCATTTTGTATTTGCCATGGCTTATGTGCTGCTCTCTCCTTTTCCATCTGCTGACTGACATTTAGTCAGAGTATATTGCTGTTTAGAACACTGGATACTTAACCAACGGCAATGGCTAGCAAGTGAACAGGCATAATAACAGTTGTTAAAGGGCATGATAGAAAGGTTGTCTGTCAATAATGGAAAAAGGAATTGATACTGTGGTAGAAAGAGGTGTAAAAAGGTGTACAATCTAAATAGTACAGGAAGCAGCCTGTTTTGACAGACTGAAAAGCTTCATCCTGAAAATTAACAAGGCACGATTAGAACAAGAAATTTGGCAGAAGCTGAAACCGCCGATGATCTGGCATGGTCCAAACTTCAAAATACTTCGAAGAATTTATCATAAATTTTAACATACTCCAAGCAATCAAGATGGATGAAGTCATAATTCTTGGAGCTTCGGAAATACTTGCACTTTAAAAAAAAGGTAGAAGCCATCTCTTGCCCCAAGGCATGGTACGTGAAGTAGGAATGTATTCAGACACCAGAATCTGGTTAGCTGATTGTTTAGATATTTGTATTTACATGGTCTCAAATCAGTTTCTCAGACAACTGTTGAGAGGCAGCCAGTTGCTCCCTATGATTAATAGGATTAACCCCAATAGATCTATCTTATAAATCAAGTTTTTGAAAGCACAATCTTGTTCATCTAAGATACTACTGAGGTGTTAGATACAAGGCCAGGTGACCACAGAACCTGCGATTGATCTGGACAGGTGCTCATGGCAGGAGGTGGGTGGGATAAGTCACTCTTTGGAATGAAGCTCACTCTTGAGTGAGGATTCTTTTCCCCAACAGGCATTTAACCATCTGCTTTTTGCTTGCTTGCCTTTTTTTTTTTTAATGTAATGCCAGGTCTGAGCTCCATCTGGTTTATACTGTGTATCTAAAGAGAACTTACTGGAGGGCACTGAGACAGCTTATCAGCGGCTACCATCTGGACATTGAGGTGTTTAGCTTGAGATTTCCCTCGAGATTTTATTAACCTTTGTAAAACCTGTAAAAGATAAGATTTTTATTTAACAGAGGGATAACGTGCAAAATTGATACAAATCTCAGTTGCAAGCTCTAAAAAATAACAACTAGCTATAAAGCTTATTCTGAATCTTTTTTCAAGGCTAGGAGTTAATCAAACTTTGTCTCCTGCCCGTTTGTTTTAAACAAGTCTTGAGAAACACAGAAAGTATTTCTTTATGTGAACTATATCTAATATTACTGTATCAGAAATTAAATATTCATTTAAAATTAATAAGCCTATTGCATGTTAACATAAATTACTTTATAAAAATAGCCATACTTTTTGGAAGTATCTCTAGTGCCTGGCTTCAAAGAAGAGAGCTGAAGTCCCTTATCTGCTTCTACAAGTAATCTGCAGCAATGTATAGATCAGGTTGAAATACATGAAGAAAGTACAGCCTCCCAAAAATATGTACTTAAGACAAGAGTATTTTAGTAGCCTGTTCAGATAGATAATTGTGGATATTCTTTGCAGTATAGAAACTACACTAATTTCTTAAAGAATAGTTACTGTGTGAAACAGGAAACCATACTGATGAAATTACTCCATTACATTAAATTCCATTGGCCTGTCTTGCAATTGGAATGGATTTTTTACCATGCATGATTTGTAACATCAGTCAATCATTTGGAAATAATGGTTTGCTGGCCTCTTCAGATCTTCCAGATGTTTGATACACTTCATTATATAATATTAAAATATATTTGTTACTATTATCATTGATGTCATTAGAAAAGTCTTCTGTCTGTTAGTATAAACTGCCAGGCTCTCAAAGGTGGATGCAAGTTTTCCGAAACTAGTATTTCTTTGAAAGCTTGAGTTTTATCATCGGTAACAAAGACTGTTGTTTTCCTTGATGTAATACCCACATCTGGAAAAGCATAGCCTGGTAGTTGTTCTTTCATATAAAAATGATATTCCATGAAAAAAGTGTCTAGTTAGTTCACAACTGAAATAATCATACCATGCTTGTCCTCAAGATAAATAACGTACTTGAGTACTTGCAGCTCATATGTACTTCTTATTTTATTATTCAATATTTAAAAGGCTTGTATGAGAGTCAAATTTAATAAAATTTAGCGAAACTGGTTATTTAGTTTTTGTTGTTTGTTTTTTTTTAACTGGTAGTTAAAACCTGCTAGTGGGAAGAATACAGTTACTGCTAGTACTGTCTGGTACCAGTCTTGATTCATGCTTAGACACTTGTGGTTTTACCCACCATTACTTTTGCACCATCATTGCCAATGTAAAAACAGTGTAAAAGGTGAATGGTGTTTAGTAGTATTATGGAAATAGTTTTGACCTTATGAACTCCTTGAAAGTGTCTTAGAACACCGCCCCCCCTACCCCGGGTTCCACCACACTCTTGAGACTCAGCTCTTCTAAGCCATGAAAGTAATAATCATGCTTTGCTTATATCAATCTTAAAAGCTGACTAACATCTCTTCAAACTCTCTATGATGGATAAAGACATAACCTGTTGGTAACGGCAACATAAACATTTTGTCAAACTTTGACTACAGAGCAAACAACAGCAAGCCTGCTTACCTTAGGAGAAGAGATCTTTACATATACTATAATAGGGGCCAAAGAGGTTTTACTGAGTTGAGCTGGATGATTAATAGTGTCTGCATCAAGGACTACCAGTTGCAATGTTCTTGCAAGTTCAAAAATTCTTTCTATTTCACTCTGAACTTCCGCTGTAAAAGGTTAAGCAGAGTTCAATTACTTCAAGTACAGTATTTTTAGAGCAAACTGAGATCAAATAAAATGGTACACAATATCTTCAACAGGAAGGTACATAGGTCAGCCATTAGGTTAATGCTTACAGGCAACAGAGCTGATAAAAGCATTCTCTCCATAACACCTTGAAAATTTAGGGAATTCCTCTCTCAACCAGCTATAAAATTTACATAAGTATAACGCTATTTCTGAGAATAAATCTTGGCTCCCTCTGATGACTTACTTTGTGTGCTATAAAGAATGCTTTTTTTAATAAAAAAAAGTTATAAAACAGAAACTTAAGCAGTAACTTTCATGTGTTGGTCTCTGACCACTACCCAAGCAACGATCACCAGCTTTCCTTTCACTGCATGGGCTTATCTCTGTTTATCACCTATGGGCATGCTAATAGATACATTTATTAGGAAGCTGAAATACACCGTGCACTAGGAGAGACATTAAGAGTGTCTATAACAAACTTGTCCAGAATCACACTAATCATACTTTCTAACAACAAAGAATGGTCCTGGAACATTCATGCTTTAAAAGGGCAGTTATTTATTAGAGGCAGCACCACACAAATCTGAGCTATACAACTCACAGAAAACTTACTAGCAAACATCTAAAAATCTACTTGAACACCAAGAAAATTTCACTCCGTTCATCTACTCCATGATCTCTCTCGTGTCTAAAACAGGACCATCCAATAGGATTTTATGCGATGATGGTAATATTCTGTATCAATGGTGGCCAGTATGACAGCTGCTAACCATATGTAGCTATTGAGCCCCTGAAATGTAGCAACTAAATTTTTTTAAATGTAACAAATAATTTAAAATTAAATAGCCAGAGAAGCTCCCATACTAGGCAGTGCTGGTCCATTAAGCCTAATAAGTAACCTGCAGTGCCCACTGCAGTCATGAAGGGCCAGTTCCAGGGGACTCTGGACCCCCAGAATACCTTTAATTCCCGTTATGTATCTGGATCCATACAGAAAGTTCCTGGAGATACTTTTTAGCAGTATTCAAGGAAAGGCAAGTCACTAATCTGCCTCACAATACATTATGACTAGAGTACTTTTATTTACCTGGATGTCTTTAAATTTAGGGCCCACACCACTTGAGATACGAACTTTAATATTTGGTCACATACTATGGATAATACAGTCTTCTAAAAGAAAAAAATAAAAATTAAGCTCTTCAATCTACCAGTTTATAAGAAATGCAGAAAGTGGACGATGATATAAATGATACCACTGTAATGTAGTTAGCAAATTTCAGATCGGACCTCTGTGGAATAAGTGACCCAGTTTCTTCAAGTAAAAAGTAACAGGGAACCAGTCACAACATATGGACATTATTTGGATCCTGAGCCAAAAATAAATATTTATATATAAAGAGTATATATAAAATAGGACAATTGGGAAATATGTGGCTGAGTAGAAATCTGATGATATTAGGGGTGCATTAATGCTAGTGGCATTGTGGTTTACATAAGAGTCCCTAATGTTTAGAAATACATAATGAAATAACTTACAGATAAAATCATATGATTGTGATTTGCTTCAAAATAATCCACAAACAGTTGGAGAGGAAGGGGAGGACTGGAAATGAAACAGTATTTTTGGTCATAAATAAATGAGAGTAGAAACTGGGTGATGCGCACCTGAGGTCCTTTATACTCTTTATATCCATATATATTTAAATTATCTTAAATAGCAGTTTTAAAAATAAAAATGGTATTCTGATCATTTGTTTCATAATAATGTTCTAAAACACTGCTATTATTTACTCTGTTTATCTTTAATTTTTATTTCAACAATAATCTGCATTCTTTGTGCCCTATAAATATTTTCACGGCCACTGATCCTCAACAATCAACTTATTATCTAAATTAGTACTTATTGTAAGCATTAAGAAATTTGATCAGCCTACTCAATGGCAAAAAGTTGAAAACTTTTTCTGTAAGATTGGAAACAAGATGACGATAATCACCCTTGCCACTTTTATTCAACATGGTGTTGAAAGTCTTAGCCAGAGCTATTCTGCATACAATTGGAAAGGAAGAAGTAAAACTGTCACTCTCTGCAGATGACATGATACTACATATAGAAAACCTACAGACCACCAAAGACTGTTAAGTTAGCAAATTCAGTAAAGTTGAAGGACATAAAGCTAATACTGAGAAATAGGTTGCATTTTTTTACACTAATACTGAACTATCAGAAAGAGAAATTAAGCAAACAATCCCATTTAAAATTGCATCAAAAAGCATGGAATACCTAGGAATGAATGTAACTAAAGACGTAAAAGAGCTTACACTGAAAACTGACATTGATGAAAGAAATGGAAACACAAATAAATAGAAAGATAGTCTGTGCTTATGGATAGGAAGACTTAGTATTTTTAGAATGTTCATATACCAAACCAATCTATAGGGTTAATGTAATCCCTATCAAAATAACCAATGGCATTTTTCAAAGAAATAGAATAATCCTAAAATTTGTATAGAACCACAAAAGACCCTGCATAGCCAAAGCAGTCCTAAGAAAAAGGAATATAGCTAGAGTCATAATGCTTCCTGATTTCAAACTACAATACACAGCTATAATAATCAAAAGAGTATCATACTAGCATAAAAAGACACATAGATCAATGGAGCAGAATAGCAAAAAAATAAACACATATACGGTCAACTAATTTATGACTTAAGGAGGCAAGAATATACAATGGGGAAAGGACATTCTCCAATAAATTGTGCTGGGAACACTGGACAACCACATGCAAAAGAATGAAACTGGACCACTATATTATGCCATCAAAATCAACTCACAATGGGCTAACAACTTGAATGCATACCTGAAAGCATAAAACTCCTAGAAGAAAACAAGACCTCCTTGACAGCTGGTCTTGGCAGTGACTTTTGAATGATGCCAAAAGCAAAAGCAACTAAACAGAAATTTTAAAAGTTCAACAAAATCTGAGAGGGAGAAAATATCTGCAAGTCATATATCCAATAGGGGGTAAATACCCAAAATTTAAAAACTCATAACTAATTAATAGCAAAGAACTAACGACCCGATTAAAAAATGGACAGAGGATCCGAATGGACATTTTCTTGAAGAATACGTACAGGTGACCAACAGGTACATGGAGATGTTTGCCATCACTAATCATCAGGGAAATGCAAATCAAAAACCATAATGAGTTATCACTTCACACCTGTAGAATGACTATTATCAAAAAGTCAAGTGCTGGCAAGGATGTGGAGAAAAGGGAACCCCTGCTCAAAATATGTGGGCAAAACATTGGGTTGACCAAAAGGACAATATGGTTTTTTTTTTCCTGTAAAAGACTTGTTTTTCATTTTCAGCAATAACTTTATTGATTTGGATATTTTGAGTATGTCAGCTATCTCCCAGATGGCATAACATTGATTGTTCTCAATTAATATCTCAATTTGATCACTATCAATACTGTGGAGCATCATCCAATGAGAAACCTCCAGTACAAAACTTCTCAAACTACTTTTGACACTTCAATCAGTCACAGTTCCTTCTCCATACACCTCACAAATCTTTTTTTGTGCTTCAGTTGGGTTTTTACCTTTCTTGAAGTAATAAATTACTTCAAGAAATTAATATGCTGAAAATGTTGCAAATTTTCTTCCACCTTAAAATGGCTACATAAAAATTCACCAATTTTGATTAACCAATCTTGCCCAAGACAAGAAAGAATGTAAGTTAACTCATTTAGGAAGAAGTTTCAGTAATCAAACAATACTGTTTAGAGAGAGGAGGTAGTTACTTTCTTACTCTTCTTTTTTTAAATCCTCACCCAAGGATATGTTTATGGATTTGAGAGAGAGAAATGTTGACATGAGAGAGAAACATTGATCAGTTGTCTCTGTATGCACCCTGACTGGGGATCAAACCAGCGACCTGGGTATATGCCCTGACTGGGAACTGAACCTGCAACCTTTTGGTGTATGGGACAACCCTCTACCCAACTGAGCTACCTGGCCAGGACAGAGGTTGTTACTTTCATTGCAGATGGTGTTAGGGGACATCTAAGTCGTTGATTAAAAATTAATAAGGTCTTGTGCTTCTCATAACAATCCGAAGAGGTACAATTCTAATATCATTGCTACTTTAGAGTGGGAAATGGACCAAAGACTAAGTAATCCACTAGTTTAAATAAGGATAAAAAAATACATCATAAAAGCAAGAATAAGATAAAATGCAAAATCTATAAAATGGAAAACAGAAAAAAAAATGGCAGCATTTAGTACCATGAATATCCTTAAGGAAGAGCATATATACAGATACCTACGCTTACACACCTGACATAATAAAGCATTGGTTTTGTACAAAGTAACTTCAACATGTTTCCTATACAACAGGGCCCATCTAAGCCAAATGACATGTTATTTAACATACTCTGTTGGCAGAGGAGGGGTGATCCTCTGACCATTCTTCTGACTGCTACATACAGGGGTGTGGCACAAATAACGCCCCTTTTTTAATTACAAACTCTTTTATTACAAAGTCAAAAAGCATATAATTCTGTAACATAATATCACAGTCAAGCACACCATATGACATTTTAGGTGAAATGTTCAAACTGCTGTCCATCTCGTGGGAGACATTCACATACCCTACCAACCCCACTCAAGCAGGCCTTCCTTCTGCCAGACCCTGTGTATATTTGAATTACCTATGTTTTAGCGCTACCATAAGAAAAACCAAACAATCCTCACACTTACAAATGATGGGTTAATATGTAACACGTACATTCCCCTCCTCTACAAACTATTAAAGTGTACGCTGAGTTTCCTGGGAGTCCAGATGACTTGTGCGGCCCCTGTGGATCACCGAGCCTTTCCCTGGGCTCTGCCCCATGGCCGCCTTCCACGTGGTCTAAGGACCCTTCTCCCTGCGTCATCTGAGGAAAGTCAATGGATTTTGCCCATCTTGATCTTTGACCGCTCTGTACCAGGTGGACACTAGGACGCCCTTCTCTCTTCTCAGTGTGATTCTCATCTTCTGAACGCCCCCCGACGCTGCTCGGGCAGCCGCTGCTTCTTTCTTCTTTCCCTGCCAACCCCAAACATGCTGCTTCTTTTCAGGGTCTGGGCTTGTCTTACTCTTTCACTCCCTTCTCTGGCTACACATGTCAACTCCTGGCTTCCAAAAGCACAGTCCCTCCTTGTTATTTGTGGATTCAGTACTTGCAGATTTCTTCCCTACTTGCTAAAATTTATTTCTAAAGCCCCAAATCCTTATGCGTGGCACTTTTGCAGTCAGTCGTCCAGGGACTGAAGTGCACACAGTGGCAAAAAATTGGAGTTTCCCCCAGGTGCACATTGTCAGCTGAGGTCAAACAAGTTGACACTCTCTGTGCCTTCTTGTTCCAGCTCTTATACTATAAACATGTGTCCTTTTGGTAGCCTGTTTAGTATTGTGTTTTCCTCATTTTTGTGTTGTGTGTGTGAGATTCCACTGTTTAAAGGGCCCCCCCTCCAGACTAGTGCTGAAGTGCTGTTTAGTGCTCTGAAGTGCAGGAAGGCTATGATGCGCCTTATGGAGAAAAATGCACGTTAGCTAAGCTTTGTTCAGGCATGAATTATAGTTCAGTGTCAATGAGTCAACAGTATGTATCAAACAAGGTATCTTTAAACAGAAACATGCAGAAAATAGATTATATTGATCAGTTGATGAAAATGTTGTGACCGGAGGCTGGCAGGAACCTTCCCCTACATTTCACGTAGAAGCGATGGCTCAGTATTCACTAATTCGGTGTTTAGGGGGACTTCATAGAACATAACTACCATGAATATTGAGGATCAACTGCTTCTTAAGTTCGTCCACTCTACTGAGTTCCAGATTGGTATATACAATCGTCTGGATGCTCAATAATGCTGCAAATTCAACATGTTTACAAATGTAGCCATCACCTACCTTCCTTATCCCTTCCCTGGTCACTCCCTCAAGCAAGCTCCTTATCCTGAGCTTCTCATCCGAAACCCTTCATCCTCAGAATAACACCACCAGCCAGTTCTCAAAGCAAAAAGCTGGAGATCTTCCTGGAGCTTTCTCCTTCATGTTCTTATTCCGCAGATTGCCACGTCCTGACTCTGATCTCCTGCAGCATTTGCTCTCTTGACAACCAGTTCAGAGCAAGACAACTTACCACCCTTTATTTCAATGGGCTGTTAACTTATTTCTCTTACTGCTACACCAAGATCCCTGGGGCAAGGGGCTTCATCTAATTCATGGTTTTATTCCCAGGCTTTGGATGACTTTCAGTGTCTAGTATATGTTCAATAAAGTATATGGAGTGCATGTGTCAATTAAAAATAATATACAGTTAGTGGTTACAAAGAGCGTTGCAAGCTAAACAAATCTGTTATGTCATTGACTCAACCGATGAATCTGAACAAATCACTTGACTTTGTTAATCAGTTGAATCAATGAAATGAACATATTGTAACAATATATGAGCATCCACAATGCATAAGAAGAATTTCAAGGGTCACGGGTGATTAGGATATGCTAAGATATCACTATAAAAATGTATGATCTCACTTTTCCCCCCAATATATTTCTAAAGCTAAATTACTGAAATTTAGTCAATGAGGGGTTGTTAGGTGAAGAACTGAGTTCTAGAAATTTATACTCATGATTACCACATAAAGTTTATTATTTTAAATAGTTTCTCCATTGTTCAAATAATATATTTCAAAGTAAACTAAAAACTTCTATGTTAAAAGCCAGTCTCTCAAACTTTTTATATATTTAACATACATATAGAAAAAGTAAAATCGAAGATCTCACACAAGCCTGAGAAAATGTACTTGATAAAAACAGAAACCTAACAACCCAGTAAGTTCCATGGGTAATAGCGGTTAACCTAAAACTCCAAGCAAACACCATAGAGATGAAACAGCTGCCTGGGGGTCTCATTAGCTCAAATTATTACATTAATAAGTAGTACACAAACACAACTTGAAGCATAATAACTAAAATTTTGCACTGTTTTTACAAACAAAATAAAAATATTGACATGGCAATCAGTGGAAAACAACGAGGAAATGACTTATCCTTTATCAAACTCAAGACTACACTCTGCGCTACACTACCATGAATATAAGCATCTTGCTATAATTCAGCTATTAAGGGATTTGAGGTAATAGCTATCATTTATGGAGGACACACTATGTTTAATCCTTACAGTAATTCTACAAGGGGGTTAATGTTATCTTTTTTATTTAGATGAGGAAACTAGGCCTTACAGAGGTAATGAACTTGCTCATGGTACCAATGATGCAAAGCCAGGAATTTTTTGAGCCTGTTGATACTGAAGCTCACTTTAGTGAAAACAAACCACAGCCAAGACATTAATGCTGACAGCCTGTGGAACTTTTAACTCCAAGCTGTCGTAATAAATTCTTCCATGCCATGAAATTACTAAGCCTGTACACAACCTACTGGCAACATGTCTGTTTCTTCTCTGCTCTATGACATACGGAATTCTCATCTAGTTAGATCTTCTCATGGGCAGCATCAGGGAGCAGTGTTTAAATAGCTTAAGTTCATCAGGAGTACACACACTTACCTAAGCTTGACCTTGTGTTAGATCTTTCTATTATTGCATGCTTACTGGGGTTATTTAACACTGAGCGTTTGGCCAGTGAGATGTCAGCAGTGACCCTTGTGATGGATATCCTGTTGGGAAAAAGTAACAGAAGACCCTGAGGTTATTAATTGAATAAGAGTGGACAGAAATACGTGCCTCAAACTCTTCTGTATATGAAATATATATAGTAACCATGTTTTCAAACCAAAAGAAAAAAAATGTTAGGGCACTTGATTGTTCTTTTTTTTTTTTAATCCTGCACTAATTTAGCATTTGTTGGTTACTTACCAAGTGTCAGGCTTATATCAAGCATTATCTCATCACCTGGATTATCTCATTAAATCATCCCAAAAACTCTAACAGAGAGGTTTATTATCGTACCACTTTTGCTGATGAAGATAATGAGCCATAGGTAGATTCTTTATTCAAGTTTACATATTAACTAAAAATGGTGAAGCTGGGATTTGAACCCGGCTTCCTTGAGCCCATATTCTCAGCCCCTGTACTGTAGACCCTCCCATAAGGGTAGTGCTGTGGAAGGCATAGAACAAGGCCAACATGGTCTTTCCTCAGAGAACAAAAAATCTAGTGGCAGAGACAGGTGATAAATAAGAAAATAAATAAAGTAATTAAAGAATAAGATGATGCTATGAAGAAGACACAGAGGGTGTTGTGACAGACAATAATTTGTTAGGGGGTTCATTGTTAGTGCAGAAATCAGAACATCAAACTTTGAAAGTTAGAAAGTACAAATGACTTAGACTGGAGACAGCTGAATATAACAGGCAGCAGTAGGAAAAGGTATGGAGCAAACTAGGAGAGTCACAGTAACTTTGAAGAAGGTGGTAAAGGAAGTATTAGAAATAGGAGGTTGGTTTGGTGTTTCAGGGTGAGAGCCCGCCACCCGCCCTCTGCTACACCGAGCCACCGGGGATCATCCTTTCCCCGTGTGCCCTGAGCCCACTGGTTTAGTCTCTATGGGCGACAAAACAGTATCTGTGACCAGGGGACCTTAGACAGAGCAGAGAATACATATTATTTGGAAAGAAAGGATTCTAAATGGAAGATTTTCCCTGGGGAATCTGACCTGCAAAGAGAGAAGAGCCAAAGATAATGACGTTGGTGGTTTTATATATAGATTGTCCAGTGAGGAGGACAAAGAGATGGAACATAGGAGAAGAAAGATATGAAAATTAGAGAATTATCTGGAAGCTTCAACTTCCAAATTAAAAGAGGTCTAAAAAGGAAAATGAAGAATAAAGAAAACAGAGGACAGGAAACTAAAAAATACTTCTCGAATTAAGAGTCTGATTTTTCCAAATTGACAGGATCCAGCATGAAGGTTGAAAGGCACATTCATGTAAATGTCATGACACTGGGGACAAAGCAGAAACTCAAAGCTCCCAGAGGAAAAGGCAGCTAAAAGCCTAAAAAATTCTGAGGGGAATTTATTCTAATCAGAATTCCATTACCATTTTAACTATCAATTAAATGGGAGGGCTGATTTAAGACATTTTTAAAGATTGTATATCATTTTTTAGAGAGAGGGGAAGGGAAAGAGAAAGAGAGGGAGATAAACATCAATGCACAAGAGACACATCAATCAGCTGCCTCTTGCACATCCCCAGTGGGGGACCTGGCCCACAACCCAGGCATGTGTCCTGAGCAGGAATTGAACTGGCAACCTCTCAGGCTGGCGCGCAATCCGCTGAGCCACACCAGCCAGGCTAAAGACGTTTTTAGACATTCAGATCTCAAAGAAAGTTTTATGTACTCTTTCCAGAGAATCTATTAGAGGATGTTGTGGTAAACCCTGAAAGAGATCAAGGGTCTAGGAAAAAGGGGCTCCAAGCCCAAAGGGAAGGTGACAGCAATCCCAAGGAAATGACAAGGGATGTCCTGGAATGGAAACTGTACACCCAACATAGAGAGAAGTCATCCAGACGGGAGCAGGCCAGAACACCCCCAGAGATTCAAAAGTACAAAGTGGAGAGACTACCTGGTGCATTTGAATCTATTGTGAGGAGATTTAGACAACTGAGGGAGAATAGGCGGCAAAACTAGTGCCAAATATATAGCAAATTAAGCAAGTGTAAAAAGTAAAATTATTTACCTCAGAGCAACCACAAAGAAAATGCACATGAAAAAGTAATTTTAGGGTATTTGACATGGCCCATGTAAATATTATTGACATGGCTATAATACATACTAAAAATAGAGCCGGCCAAAAATCATGACTTAACTGTTGGGACACTGGAGGGCGCGATGTGTGTGCAGGGGTGTGTGAGAGACAGCAGAGGGCTGGGTGTGAGCGTGCGGCACGGTGCAGGTCAGCGGGTGATGCCTAACACCGAAGACTCACACAGCCAATTAAGTATGTAGTTTGTAGGCAAGGCGTAAATGCCAAAAGATATAGCTAGCACAGTTAAAATTGGTTGCCATTTGGATAGCAGCACATTCAGTACAGTGTGGAAAGGGATTACAGGATTCTGCAAAACAATTTTATCTGTATACCATAAAAATCGATCGCTTATGAGCTGGGACCAATTCACCGAGTTCTACATCCACCGTCACATTCATGATGCAGAATAATTTTATCTCCCCCGCTACCAAATTCCCCTATGCTACCTCTCTGTGGTCAGGCCACCCCAGCCCTCGCAACCGCTGAGCCGCACGGATACTGTGGGCAGTGTGTTCTGGGCGGAGGGGAGAGGGGGTGCCTGCGCTACTGGGCATTATACCAGCTCAGCTGAGTGGGGCCCGTGCACTGCATCTGGGTCCTGTGCCCCTGAAGTGCCCACTGGGAGGCAGGCTGCCCTGTAATGGGTGCCATCTGGGATCACAGAGGTGACAGGACAAGAGAAAAGCCACTTGGGTGCATCTCATGTCTGAGTCCATTCAGCAGAAGGACAGGGTTTTCTGTAACAATACATCCTCCTCTTTGTCCCATACGCTTTTTTCTTTCCACATGTGTTGTCCAGCCAGGCTTCCACTGACCTGCTTACATGGTGAGCTTTGCACACTGTGTGAAGACTATCCTATTTCAACTCCTTAAGTATGTTTTGGGAATTGTCATTGCTTGAGTTTCCACCAAGAAAAAAGACCTTGAAAGTCCTAAGGGCAAAACTGTGGGGACAATTCAGTTTAGAGGAGTGCTTGTCCATGCTCCTGGTACATCAAAATTGCCGAATAAGCTTTTAAAGTTAGAGTAGGTCCCACCCTAGAGATTTGGCTCCAATTTGCCACCAATGGAATAAAGCCCTTGTGGGGTTTTTTGTTTGTTTGTTTGTTTTTTGTTTGTTTGTTTTTAAATGCTATAGGTGATTCTAACATACAGCCAAGGCAGACAACCACCAGTTTGGAAAAAGTTGTCTCACATCTAAGTAAATTCCCCTCTAAATAAAGTGACATAATATTTCCCAGATTACTGATTTTTTTCAGTAAGATCCCTTTGCACAAAATTCAGCATATACATATCCCTATGGCAATCCAATATGAATTCTAGACACTTCAGTGCTAAGAGCTGACATTTTAAAAACACTGGGAGGACAGCTGAATTCATCATTTTCCTTCTTGTCCCAGATTTCCTTGCTAGTTTACCTGACCTTGTCCTACCAGGTGATTGGAAACTGCTCTGTATACATGACAGGGGTGGTTAGGGTCGATCCAATTTAAATGGGCTACTCTATTGCACACAACAGAAAGGATAATGATTTATCATCTCTTCTTTGACTTGACAACTGAAATGCTATTGTAACAATGAGTATCAGGATTCTAACAACTGCCCAGGGCTTCAGCAAATGAACTTAACTAAGTTAAAGAACAGAAGAGAATTCCTATCTAGAATCTTTTCATCACCAACACTTCCTTTCATATTTTTCCCTCTTGGGCTTTAATTTAAAAAAAAATTAGTTTACTTAATGGATAATTAAGGAGTAATTACTTTGTCCTTTCAGAATTACATGTCTATTTAGAACTAGACATAACTGGTACTTTTGATGACTTTCCACCCATTGATGTTACCTTGGCTTGCCGAAAGCAAAGGCATTTAATGATACAGTTACTCTGAGTGTCTTGTTATGGATGAAAAATAGATGTTAAGTTTTTGCATGGCTTTTTGAAGTTCTGCCTTATGGACACTGTTACTTCCTTTAAAAATCTTTGGTGATCACAGGCCGAGAAAGTTGAACTCCAGCTCTGTGAGTTAAGATGAGCCAAATCTGGTCCATTAATAAAGCCACATGGAAATTACTCCTGCCCAGAAACAGAAGATTGATACGATATGCAGATATTTTGTTTATGCGTTTCCTAAATGTAATCAATCTGGATGGCCGATACTTTAGAACATGGTCCAAGATACACCTTATGGCTGGAATCTGTCTTCCAAATTCAAAACATACTCAGGCTCGAACAGAAGTGGTAGGTCAGGAAATTCCATCTCATTTCCCCATCTGTGGCTTTTGGGAAAGGACTTTGGGTTAACTCAGTCACGGAGAGCAAAGCGCCCCATCTAGCAGAATTTTCTGGGTGTGCACGCTCATGTGGATAATTCCAAATTGTGATAACTGACAGAGCCAAGAATAAAGAAGTGAAAGCTAAATAGGCCCAATTAGAGGCATGCCTTTTATACTTGGCCAGGACCTGAAAGCCTTGGACCAAGCCAAAGGCCCAAGGATCAAGCTGTGTTTCCTGGCACAAAATGAAATATATTTCATAAAGCAATGGAAAACAAAAACATCTAATTAGGATCATTTGGTTTGGTGGCCTTTGATCATAAAGTCTTTTTATACCTTGAATTCTGTTCCTTTTCTATCTCTTTCAGTCTTTTGCTTGATTACTAACGATATTTGCATTCCTCTAAAAGTTCCTCTCTTTGTCCTTGTCTCTCCTGCCAAAAGTCAGTATAAATAAGAAATGGCTGTAGAAGCAGGTGTAGTCAAGAAAGAAAGTACTATGTTCAGGAATCTAAAAGAACACTGAAACCTACAGACATCATCTAATGTATTTGTATTGTTAGGATAGGGGAAGAAAAGGACTGTGAAAAAAAAAATCAGCACGTTTATCTTGTCAAAAATACAAAATTATTCACCAGATCTGTATATTCCCATGACCCCTATAATCTACTTAGTTTAAATTTTTAAGTTTCCATTTTGGGCTCCCATCATATCTTTGATGCTTCAGAAGTTGGCTTAACCTTTACTATGGTGCCCACTGGTTATTTGATTCAAGGCTGCCTCCCAATAGGCCCTAAGTAAGCTCCATGAAGCCAAGGTCCTTGTCTGCTTTTGCTCCTCTTAATGTCTGGGCCCATAGAATGTGCTCAATAAATATTTACAGAACAAGGCAAGGGGAGGAAAAGAAAATGATTAAGTCTAAGTTGATTAACATGACACACTAAACATAGCCCTGTCTTTGTTACCAGTCACTCTCTGCCTAGACTTGACTTGAAGGTCTCTAGGTGGTTTCCCTCACACATGATGCTGTGTCTTACCTTGATGTTGTCACACACTTTACACCCTCTGGTGGACATGCCCCTCCTCCTCCTAATTCACTTGGTGGTGAAATCATAGGTTCCATTTAAAACCTTTCCTGGATGCTGACATCCCTAAATCAGTGTTAATTCTTCCTCCATTTATGCTACTTGTACCTTGGACACACATCCACCTAGCTGCCATTTCATTTACTTCACATTTTACTGCTTGGGGTTTCAATTCATGATTTACACATGAGTTCCTTATAGTCAAAGACAATAAGTGGCTTTGATATTACTGCATTTCCCTAGCAGAGAGAACACAAGAGACATTCATTCAACATTCATCCGTTTGTTGTTCACAGTTCTAGGCAGGGAGAACACAACAGTTCACAAAACAGACTTCAAAAAATTCTGCCCTCGTGCAGCTTGTATTCTAAGTGTGGAAGAATGACAACAAACAAAATTTATAAAGAAAATACATAAAAGAATCATGGAGAAAAGTCTGAGAAGGATGAGAACATATGTACATGTGTGTGGATATATGTATATATCTATGTATACGCATATAGTAAGAAAAATATCTAAGGGAAAAGTATTTCTAGTACAGGGAACTGTAAATACAAAGGCCTTGAGGTAGGTATGTATCTGGCTGTCTGGAACACTTACGGAATAACAAAGAAGTGAGTATGGCAGGACTAGAAGGAGCAAAGGGGAGAGCAGTGAGAGATAAAATGCCAGAGGGGCGTGGGTATATGGATGGTCAGGCCGTGGGGGCGGTACTCTTTTAGGCCACTAAGAACTTTGGTTTTAATGCTGAGTAAAAAGAGAAGACATTGGATAGATCTGAACAAAGGGGTGATAAGGTCCAGCTCACAACTGAACAGGTCATTGAGGTTGCTGAATTGAGAGCAGACTTTAAGGGAGCGGGGACTAAAATTCAATAAATAGGAAACTATTTATTGCAATAATCCAGGGAGGAGATGATAGTCCTCAGACCAAAAGTAGAGGGTGTCTAAAAAGTGGTTAGACTCTTGATATATTTTGAAGACAGAGATAACAGCATTTGAGTGTGAGGTGGGAGAGATAAAGAACTGAATCAAAGATGATTCAATGACCTGGAGCTGAAGGGTCTTGGGACTGAAAGATGAAAAAACTCTTAATAGAGAAATGGAAGGCAACAAGAGGAACAGGTTTGGCCATAAGTTGGAAGGTCATGATTGAGAAGTCCATTAGAGATCTTAGTGGTGATATTGAAATATGCAGTTGGATATATGGGTCTGAAATTAAGAGGAGAGACCAATAAAGAAATGCTATTTAAAAGTCTGACATCAAATGACATCACCAAAGGAGTATAGATAGAACAGCAAGTAGACCAACTTAGCCCTGTTGTTTAGAAGGTATCTAGTTAATGGGGAAGAATCAGCAAAGGAGACAAAGAAGTAGCTAGTGAGAAAGAAGAAAAACCAGGAAAGTGTGGTTCCAGAAACCAAACAAAGCATTGAAAAGAGGATGATGTGGCCTACCACATCACTTGACAGGAAGACTGAAGATTCACCCTGGACTTAGCAATGTGAGGACCACAGACATAACTGGTGATCTGACATGACTAGTTTTGGGTGGTGACCGATGGACACATAACTGGAGCTATTAGAAGAGAGCATGTAACCACAACTTGTTCAAGGAGTTTTGCTATAAAGAAAAGGAGGAAAATGGAGCAGTTAGAGGGGAAATGAGGGCAACTTTTTTATCGAAGGAAGAAACAACTATGTCTTGTATGCTTATGGTGCTTTCATCAGAACGGGAAATAGTGATGAGGAGAGAGGAAAAGGTTGTTGTGGCTGTGTTGGGTGGGGGTGGGGAATGGGTCTAGAGCCCAAGTGGATGGGTCGGCCATTGCTAAGGGTAATAATAGGAGAAAAGCAGAGCAGGCAAACATGTGAGTGGGTGTAGGTGTGGTGGTGGGAACTCTTGAAAGTTCTCCTGTTTGTATTTTCTCAGTGAAACAGGAAGCAAGATTGTGGGGGAGACAGCAAGACGAGCAGGGGATGTTAGGGGTCTGGGGAGAGAGGGGCTGGTATGAAAGGTTTTAGGAAAGTAGAAAAGTAAATGGAAGAGGGATATTTAGTATGATTTCTGGGCAGCAACGAGGGTCAGTTGACCAGGAATTTGGGGTGAGATTAGTCAGCAGGCATTTGGCCAGGTTCACATTACGAATGCAGATGCAGGAACCGTGAGATGGATTATCCAGGTCTGAGGAGGGGCCGAACAAATGTGACAAATATTTATGGAATTTCCCGTCACCCCATAGACTTCAGTTTTCTCTTGGGATCACACATGCCTGTCCCACCCAGGTTTTGCCATCTTCAAGACAAAAATCCACAATACCCAGGATCCTGAAATACTCACCGCCCTTCAAATCTGTGTTTTAAAAAATCAAACAATGCTTTTTGCATCATATCTGTGACCTGCAATTGAGCAAGCAATAAATTAAGATACAATAAAAATATTACTATTACAACAGAGCAATTTTATTCCTCATAAGAATGCCTGAAAACTTGGGCTTCCCATTTGCAAAAAGAAGCATGTGAGATCACGCCACTTTTCTGTTTTGAGTTCCAATACAATGAAAATTCAAAAGTCAAAGTTCCCTGAATTTATTCTGATGTTCTAATGACAATACATTACATCACGAGTGGCCTCAGTCCCTCTCCATCTAGTACTATTCCCTGGACTGAGTAGACTGTAGTTGGCAGGAATCTCCAGAGCAACAGCCAAGAAAATAAAACAACAAAACAGAAAGCAATGTATACTACAGCTTGAAAAACAACACGCTTTGCTGGTAGGAGCTCTTTAAGTTCTAAATTCAAGAGTCAGGAGGAGGAGGTTGTGTCACAAAGCAGTTCAGCATGCAAAGGTCAAGTGTGCCCCAGAGGGCAGCTACCAGCCACTTACCTCGTACCCTTTCAGAGAAGGGCCCACCAAGACCACGGGTCGCATGGAAGGTACCACATCATAGGGGGGCGTGTGCTCTGTCTGGGGAGAGAGGAGATGACTTCAGGTAGTTAACAGGCAATGGGAACTTAAGTATTTTGCATAAAAACTGTTCTTTCTGAACTCAGTATTACGAGGCACTGGCTTTCCAGACATTTATGTATTTATTTTTAACTTGCATCTTCTCAATAAACCCAATCAAAGATTGGTGGGTTGATTTTCCTAAAGTTTTCAAGTTACTAAACGGTCTACAGTTGCGTTTTTTTTTTCTCTCTCTCCTTAAGAAATGCTAACAGATTAGTTCCTAAAGCAGAAGGTGCTACTTTTGGATGAAAACTAGTCGGCAGAACAGACAGAAACATGCCTCATGCAGAATAGATGCTTTAGGCTTGACTGGAGTTAAGACTGCTTTTCAGATGCATTGGAATTTTCTGAAGAGCCACTTTTTCAGACCTAACATGGTTAAGTATGAAGAAAAGAAACGTCTCATTACCTTTGCGTCTTAGATGTCTGTCTTACCTGGATAGAACCTAGTTTCAAAACACTGTAACTCTCATTACCAAATACTTGAAAAGTCCTACTTTTCTGTAAGAGTTTAAAATAGCAGGCATGCTTGTTTCAGTAAACAGTAATCAGGATTACTATCTACAGTTTAAGATTAATATTTTTGGATTTTTGGTTTCCAAGTCTTGAAACTTAAAAAGGAAGGTTTATGTGTCTTGGAGAAAAGGTGAATGTGTGATACTCAAGCCTGTTTCAGTGGCCTCCAAAGGTTCATTATCAACTTGCATCTCTAAAAAGCTTCTCAAGAGTGTGAAGTGGTGCTTCTGCTATATAACTAAGTCAGGGTTTCCCCCAATTTTTCTTCCTTTTGGAAGAGAAGGGGGAGGAGCTAAATTGGGTAGCAATTTCTAAAACTTTCCAAACTTTTGAGCTTCATTGCTTCAAATAAAATAATCAAAATAAATTTTTTCCTAAACATTAGGAAACCACTAATTTGTTTGATTATATTAAAATTGGCTATTTTGATAGCAAAAAATGTTATGTTGATCCCCAAAATGACATTTTTTAATGCAGAAGAGAGAGAGATGGCCTTAGAACTGAGGTAAACAAATCATTGTTATGTGAATTTTTCTGCATTAAGGAGCCTCTGAAAAAATATTTTACGAATTTCTTTTCGTAACATCGACCAACAGAAAAATATTCTTTAAACTATTTTAAGAATTTGATAATATGTGAATATGAATATAATTTTTGCATAAGCCTGTTGTTGCTCCAGAACATTTTATTGTTGCTTAAAATTGCTCATTACAAACTTTCTGAATCCAATTCAATTTAAGGGGGGAATTAAAAACCATTTCAAATTCTAAAGCTTCCATCTGAGATTTTGGTAATAGTCATAGACAAGTATGATCAGAGGGGAGAAAATATTACTGTGATTGTGCTGTCAAATTTTACCTCTTAAAATTTTACCTAGTATTCAAAGTTAATTTTAAAAAGTCGCAATAAAGGTAGAATGCATTTTTAAACAGAAAAAAACCCCAAGACAAACATAATACAGTGACAGCACAAATGCCACATAAGCACCACTCTAAAAGCGACCTAGAACATGGATAACAATGTCACACTAAATCTCAAGTTTTCTTTTTGTTTTGTTCGTGAACTCTACACTGAAGTTGACCACATAATCAATAACATAAGAAGAATGAATACCAGTGCCGAAGGCATCATAAGCATATTTATTAAATTATTAGTTATACCACCTGGGATTATACTGAAAATGTTTAGAAGCCAAGTCTTTGTAACTATGATTAGAAGAATACCTTTTCCACCATTGTAATTAGGAATATCAATTGCATGCATTTTAGTAATGGCTACCAAGAAATTTTATTTTAAGTCTTTAATTATTAACTGGCCCAGTGTTTGACAGGTCTTTGGTTCCTTCGATCTGTGACTGCTGGTAATCAGTCAGCTTAATCAATAGGGTAGCTACAGAAATTACCTTGTTTGATGGAATATTGGTACTTTGTGCCCTATTGATAACGACACCATCATTTTTATCTACTTTTTTCTGCTAACCTTATGTTGTACGAATTCTTCAGTGGAAAAATTGTGATAAACGTTTTTAAAGTTGTGGAATTTAGCAATAAGAAAAATTCAAAAAATATTATCTTGACTAACATGGTTTCAGCTCATGCTACTGCTCAGTAAAGCCCAGAGCAGCTCAGTTGGCAACGTTGACTTTCTAGGCTTCCGCACTACCAGTCCCTTGGCCGAAAGTTTTCACTGTGACAAGAAGGTAGGACCAGAGAGATGGGCTGGGGCTTCTGTGCTCACACAAATAATCCAGCTGTTTTAATTTTTGCCTGCGATGCTGAGGTCTTCCATGATTAAAGTAACCACAATTTATTTAAAAAACAGCAACGTCACAGTTCTGTGTTGGACACCTCATTGATGACTTTAGAGTCCCTCCACAGAGCAAAATACTTGTGTAGGAGGGAAAGAGTTTAGGCTGTGGAGAGTTTGCAGCAGAGTAGGTTTTACTCAGCATCTGTGTGTCAAGAGATACCCATGGTTGTATAGGGCTTGGTGACATGAAGAAATAGGACTACAAAGCATCACAGGCTGTGGAAAGTGGTGTGTGAAAGAAGGGAAGGAAGGGACATTGGTGGGGAGACATCCTTAAAAGTAATGCTTTGAAGCTACAAAATGTGCTGAAAGGAACTAGATTTTGTCTGGAGTAAAGAGAGCTAAGGACTACCTAGCTTTCAGTCAGGGGACGAGGAGCATCACTGTGTGGCATCTTGGTTGGCCTGTGGCAAAGGCTGTACACATGGCCACCGCCCCATTGTCCAACAGGTGAGATGCTGAAATCTGACTGATGGAGGAGGCAAGAACATTGGGAGAGTATTTATATATGACAATAGGAAAAACTCACAGTAAACCGCCAAAACAAGCCTGCAGTTTTCCACTGGTCTTGTTCATCTGCAGATTTTGCACCTAATGGATTAGAAGTTTAAATACTGACTAAATTAAGACTTGAATAACTTTTTTTTTTTTTAGTACAAGCTATGTATCTGGATACCATAAATCAGAATCTAATAATGGTTTTAATATGCTTGATTATAAGTTAACTTTCCAGAAAAAAGAAAGACAAAGACAGACAGAATAAGCATGCACAGTAGAGGTGCATTATATGGCGTTGTCAGTGTTTGACACCCTTGAAGGTTTAAACACGTTCCCTTGGTGGTAGATATTATTCCATCAAAAAGGATAAGTACTGTAATGGTGCTCTCACAGGTCACTCACTGAATTTAGTTGGTTTGCAATGCATGGACTCAATCAGCTGTTTGGTAGGCTCTTTTCTTAGGACAGAAATGATTGTATTTTGTAAAACTGCGGGATTGAATGCTAATGATGCCAGTGGCAGGATAAACACAGCTTATGTCAATGTAGACTTACCGATTTCTGCTTCTGCTTAGCTACAGCAGCATGGAAGAGAAACAAAGAATAACAGAGCATGCATGTTATTGGCTTATCAAGGACGCAGACAGTCAACAGGACTAGAAATGTGACGCAGTGCAGTTGAGCAGGTGGACAGATGGGAGCTTGGAAGTTAATGTTACCTTCTTAAAGAAGGGCATTCTTTTCTCTTTGGAGTGGGGTGACGTTACACTGTTTGCACTGGGTTTAGGGGAGCGGTGGTTTGCTGGAATATCATTTTCTTCTGCATCTAAGCCAGTAGCATCTATGTCTATAGCTATATACAGACAAACAATTCAAAAATCATCAGGTAGACAGGAGAGGAAAAAGAGGTTATAAAAAAACAAAATGAAAGCAAATAAAATTAATCTCAGTAAAAGATCTATCATGAGTGCTTAGCACAGTAAACAAAGTAAAATTTAAAGGTAAAGCAAGTTAAGAATACAATGTAATTAAACCTAACAAAACTGAAAGTTCCCCTTATGATAGCTGTTTGCTTGATCAATTTTATGCTAGGTCTTGAAAAATATTTTTAGAGAAATAATTTTAATTTGTAGTTTCAAATATAATATTGATATTTTCCATATCGATGTATGTAAGTATGGTACAGAACATTTCACTTCACTTCTTACAATATCTTCAACCAGCTTTGAGGTAATAAGCAACTCCAATGTTCCTCAGATTCCTTATTTTGCTTGGTTTTGTAGGAAAATAGGGCAACATGAAAAGGTTCACTCAAAATGCAACAGGCGTTTAAAGGAAAGAGAGATAGAATATCCTAAATTCTGACCACACAAAGAAGTCATACACAAGGGAAACGACTCAGGGAAGGCTCCAGAAAGGGCGGGATTAAAATGATTTCAAGGTGATCTGTGCACCCTGACTAAAGGGCAGGCCTGATTGAAGACTAATAGGGGAAACACTGGGTCCAATGATCTCCAAATGACATGAGTCTAGTACAGTGACCTAAAGAGACTTCCAATGATTTCTATAAAGCCACCAGATATAACACAAGAGGTGGAAGGGCACACAGACCTAAGAGAATGTGTCACTGGTCTCCTGATCTGCAGAATGAGAGGTCTAGGTTTGTGGTTTGACGTGCCTTCCCGTTTAAAAATCTTTTTACCATGAAAATATTTCACTTAAAAATTAAGGGTTAAATAAAAATAAATAAAGGCCCATCATCTCATTTTGAAGTTTATAAAATGCTTCCATGTGCAATTACTAGAGAATTTTATTAACTGTTAAAATCAGAGCTGGAAAGTATTTTAAAGATAACTGTCGACTCTCATATTTTTAAGTTTTAAAATACAAACTCTTAAAGAGTGTAAAGGACTTGTTCTCGAGAGGCAAAAACTCAGCAGAGCTGGGACTCAGAACACAGTTCTCCTGCCTCTGGAGCCCCATCCTCTCTCTGCACTGGAGCCTCTTCAGGTGAGGTCCCTTCTCAAAGCCAGTGGGCTCAGAGTCCCCTTCGCTCCCCAGTGCGGCCGCATCCTCAGGGTCAGAATGCAGAAAGTATCATAGAGTTGGGCTCACCAGAAAATCATCCCGTGATTTAGATGAGGTCAAGTAGAAGGAAAGAGGAAAAATCTACTCACCCCAGGAAAGTTTCATAGCATCATCTTACACATGTTACCTCTCTAACAGAAACTGCAGTACATTCAGATTTAAGGAACAAATTACCTGCTTGAAATAACAGGCAGCTTGGTGCTGCAAAGCCACTACCCTTGCCTGTGATACGCAAGCTGAGTCAGTGCTCCTGACAGCTGCTGCTAACCTTTTCAAACAATAGGAGGCCATCTGACAGGCATCATGTTATTTTTCAATTCTGAAGTTACTACAGATATTAGATGACTCAGCCTTTTGAAACCTAGGATCTCTTGTTTAATTGTTCCTTTTCATTTCATTAGGTCACAAGCCTATGATGTAAACCTGTAAAACCTGTAAACATGTAAAACCTGGCATTGTTTGAACAATATTGAAAATGTCAGCTATTGCTGGCACAAAGATGAGGTATAATTTTCTCTCCAGGGAAGGTAATGATGGACTGAGTTAATTCCAGGAACTTACTTAGATTTACCTAGTAAATACATCTCTCTCTTTGCCATGTATGCATATTGATGAACGAAATGGTTCAGCCCATAGTGTGTAATGGAAACATTATAAAACGTGCCCAGGGTTAGGAATAGATGCTGACTTTCATAGCACCCTACAATGTGTATCCTTGAGTCTCATCTTAGTAAGCAGGTCATTAGTGTCTTCCTGGATATGACAGAGAGGATCTGTGTCACTTTTTCAGTATTCTTATACTACGTCTTAACCAGCATCAGATAAGTTTCTTTTCTGGTAGTAAACTCCTGTGTACGTTTACTTTTCTCATCTTTTATTGGGCTTATAACGGCCACCTTCAGAGGACAGTACCCCCTGAGAGCCTTCTTGAAATTGAGACCTACTTGCCTGTCACAGTTGACAGGACCTTGCCATAGCAAAGTTCATGAACTGGATTTTATGATTCATCCACTGATTCTGATCAAATGAATTTTTTGATTTTTTTAAAGGGGAGCAGAAATGCATACAAAGTTTAGCTGTGACATTGCCCAGCTGGCTGGCTGCCTACACACACAGCCTGAGTTGCATTCGAAATTCACCTGTATTTGGTTACAAGGGCTCAAAACCCTAAGGTAAAAACATTCCAACTTACTAGTTCTGAGTTTTGGTTAACTTAAATCTAAAACCACATGGGTTCATTCTAACACAGAGGATATAAAACATCTGGCCACTTTTAAAACATTAAAGAAATTTCTGAAGAGTTAAGCATGTTCAATTCTATTCATAGTTCTATGTACTTTATTCGACTCGATGGTTCTCCTTGTGCTGAGAAACATAACTCCTTTTTAATTTCATACTTATACTTGCATACCTTGGCAAACATTGGTATTTACTTGGGAAGAACTGTTTCCATAATATGAAATTTGTTTCCTTTATTCTTCCTCACTAGGATGCATTTTTTTAAGAGAGTCTTGGGGATATTTTTTGAGATTTACATATTAGTTTAATCGTAGACACTTGAGTCAAGTTAAGTGGTACCTGGGAGTTAACATGTATGTGTGCATTCATGTAGCTGTGGGCATGCATTGTACAACTGGCTACTACCCCATTTCCCAGATGTGAAGTGGAAGTATTTCCTTTTGCAAATCCTTGAGCATCTCCAAATATATTTAGTTCAGGCAGATGCTTATTTTCTTTGGTCCAGCCAGGGATGAGAAGAATTGTCAATAGGGCTCCGGGGAAACAAAGATGAGTATTGCAATTGCAGGCCAATCTGCATTTGATAGCTTAGGTAGCTTTCCCTTGAAGTGGGTGGGGACCCTCTCTGCAGAATTTCCTGAAGTTTTCCTTTAGATAAGTTGGGCTATTGATACGAAAATCATACTAGGGTTCTGATGTGCCTGCGATAAATTTTTTTAGTTGGTTAATATCTCCAATTCACACAGGCACAAGTATTTTCAACTCTTAGTATTAGGAAAAGTTATTTAAGAGTTCTGTGTCTGTATAAAACTTCGGTGAAGGTTTAAATCACCTTTATTTGATTGTATTAAACTATTAATTGAACTTTATTTTTAGTAATGACACATATCTGGCTACAAGAAGGAAATGTGCTTCAACAAATACACAAACTTCACTCTTCCAAATGCACCCATTCTCCTTACACTGCCAAAAGGAGGAGAAGGCTGCAGGAAGGCGAGAAGGAGAGGAGGAGCCTCCCTGGCCTGCAGAAGCGGGGCTGCAGCTGCAGGACGAGCTGCCGCCGCCACATCGCAATACGAGGTAGCGTTTTCCCATTCAGGGGCCTAGTCCCCAGTCTCGGGAGTCTCCTGACAGCATTTACAGTGTACAGGAAGAGTATAAGGTTTGTACTGCAGTCCCTACAGCCTGGCACTTTTAAGAAGCTCCTTTCTCCTGTGCCTTCAGAAAATGTCCACTATCTTCTCCCTGCTGGTCGTTGAAAGACATAAGCCTCACATAATACATAAAAAAAGCTTCAATTTTTCCTTTCAAACATACAATTTTTCCTTACAAACATTAATTTTGAGCAATTTAGGATTGCTCTAAATTATAAGTACGTGGGTTTTTTTTTGAAATCAACATGCTTCCTACAGTGACCTATTTCTTATTATGTTCACATCTTGCTCAAGTAAAATGGACTACAGTTTTTACTAAGACGCCCTTGGTTGGTCTCTAAAAGCCACCAACGTCCGAAATGAAGTATGATGATTAGTAATAGGGGAGTCCTGTTCTTAAGGCACAGCAGTCAAAGTGTAACTAGTGTAACAGAATGGTAGAGCTGCCACATTCAGCAAATGAAAATTCGGTGAAGTTTGAATTTCAGACAGCCAATACATTTTTAGCATTAAGTATATCTCATACTGTATTTACTTATACTAAAAAGTTATTTGTTGTTTACGTGAAATTCAACTTTACCTGGGCGTCCTTTATTTTATCTAACACTCCTAAGCATGAATCTACTACTTTATAAATAAAACAGTAGTCATTCTTCCCACAAATATTTTTAATTTTTTTTGACACTTCTATACATCTTCCACATCTCTCACAGAGCCTTTTGAGTATAGCTCATGTCAGGCCTGTAATTCCCTTGTTTTATTTTTCTTTCCTCACCTTTCCAAAGTTCTAATTCTTCTTCTCTTTTTACTTAACAGTGAGGCCTACCCTTCACATGCACTGTGGCTGTTACAGGGTCTTCACCCATTCAGCGCTCATGATACTGTGCTGGGCGCCACGGTGGAGGCTAGGAATAAAGCGTTAAGTACATCTGTCACTTTGACCATTAAGGCAACTGACAGTGAACGCATTGGTATGTTTCCTTTATTACTTTTCCAAAGCCAGAAAAAATTTTCCCAGAATCTTCCTAACTGTATATGGGCACTCTTATTGCTGATCCCTTTTAACATCTGTAGGGTTTGCGCAGGAATTCAATGCAAGTAAATTCACACAACTAGGTAAGACTGAGGAAAGCAGGAAATGCAGTATGCACATTGGCCAACATTTATCACCTACTTACCAGAGGATGGAGGTGTAGATTTTCTGGAACTAGGTACTATGTCACCCAAACTGGATGATGAATTTCCTCCTGATTTACTGGAGTAAAGCAAAAATGTATATTCAATCTGACACTTACTTCAGACATTAAAACATTTGTATTGCCCGATAAACATGATTACTCATTGTGTTTTTATGGAATTTTAAATTTGTCTTCCCTACAAGGAAACAAACAGTAATTTCCCAGTGGAGACTCATGGGCACTGCGGACACAGCCAGTAATAGTCTCTGCTCCACACTCGAGGTTTAACTGCATAGGGCCCTGGGGGAATGGAGGAGAACTTGGGTAATTTCTGCAGTCCTCGAATTCTCTGCCAGGATCACAGGTAGATAACAGCAGAGATTTCCTTTGCTTCTTTTATGTTAGAGACTCTCCGAAGCAATGTGAACTAATTTTTTCTTTTTATTTGTTTCCAGCTCCTTTGTCTTAGCTTTATTACTTTTGGTATGCTAAGTTTGAAAGGACTCATATTTTCACAAGCAGCTTATTAAAGAAAAACACAGCAATATGAAAACTTGCTAACCTTTAAAAGTCACATGAAGGAACATGACAGAGTGTTACATGTACCACTGAACCTTCTGATCGTATCTATAGCATTTCTCAAGCATGGCCAACACGGAGGATTCAACTTGCTTAATTTAGGGCTGATCTGAAGGGCATATACTTCAGAACTACCAGATTCTAAAGTTTTATATAAGACATAATTCTGTGTCTTAAAAGTTTGGAGTTAACATTACAACAACAGCATTTATATTTTTTACCAGTGTAGCAGCACACTAAATAACATATTACTAAATGAACCCCTCACAAATGAAGATGGAAAGGAATATCTTAAAAGAGTGACTTGGAATTTCAGGAGGACAATGTTATTGCCTGAGGTTTATTATCACAGCCAAGCCAGGGTCTGGCTGAAATAATTCGCTACATACAGTGTCTATGTATGAAAGGGCGGTATTTACTTACATAAACAATAATACAAAAATGCAAGTTCCACTAAAATAATAGTAAGCAGGTTGAATTTTATCACTCCTATCCTAGGATTTTAATGCATAAAACAAACACCAAAACTTTAAGCAACTAGCATAAGGCCTCTACGTATTTTTCAGGTTCTTAAAAGATGCTTCAGTACATATAACAAGGATACCAGGCAGTATGTAAAATGAATAAAAAGTGGTATTTGTAGAAACAATCTCCAGTAGTTACACAGTACCCATTATCAGGAAAAAAGTATTTTCTTCTAGAATTTTTCTTTTTTGAAAGTACCAAGGCTAAATTTCAGTCCAAGCATGGGTTTGTTTTATGTTCTCTTTGAACTTTAATAAAAGTCAAATATTATTTGAATTGTGTAAAATTGTGACAAACATTATAAATAGCCAAAATATTCAGAATGCAAATTTTCCCTTAATTTTTAATTCTATAAAAATGGCACCTTCTTGAGTTGCGCTGCAATTCTACCACCTTTGATTTCAGCCAATTTTTACAATTTATGTATGAGTTTTAAAATACTGCTGAATTCCACTCATGTTCTCAAAACAAAACTCTATTTAAAATGTTAGACAACAAATGTAAAAGTCTCTGAAAGGAAGTAAAAATATTTTCACACATTTAGGCAAAAGCTTAGGTAAAGAGACAGGACAAAATGAAATCAAGAAAATCAAAAGAAAATGTTTTATAGGAAAGGTAACCCAGTTCCTTAGACTAAGTTATGAGATGTTGCACTCCCCAAATGCAGAGGCTGCATAAGACTTTAAATGAAAAAAATGCAAGAACAAATAACAAAGCTAATATCGTTAAAATAACAGCTGGCATACACAACAATAACAACAATAATAATTCGTTCTGTGCTTGCTATGTCAGGTCCTGGTTATGTGTTTCACAGAGAGCGTGGGAGTCCATCTGAATTCCTGGCTACAGTCAATTCTACCTGATTCTACCACTTCCTAGTTGTGTGACCTTGGTCGAGTTTCCTAACTTTTCTTGGCCTGTTTCCTCATCTGTGAAGAGGAGGCTCTAACACACATACCATTCCCACGGGTACCTGTGGAGAGCTGAGCTGGTGACTAACACTAGCCCAAGGATGCTCAGGTGGGAGGCAGAGGAAATTGTGCTTTCTTAACTTTTTTTTGCAAAAAGTTATCTTATCCCTTCCTATTCTTTCAGGAGTTTTTCTTTCTCAGTTTGTATATGAAGAAGCAGAGAAAGATACGCATGTCTATTTTTGCAAAAGCCTATTCCAAATTTTCCACAATGCATTCTACAAAACCCTATTCCTAAAACACGAACCGAGAAAAGTCTGTATAGGATAACTTAAGTATATGCGTGAAAAATATCCCCATCTGCCATCCAGATTTACAGTGCACATGAGCAGTTTAAAGGCTCTGAAAAATCCTAAAATAACTTTTTACTGTCCTGCACTCATTTGACCATGGAACCCTCCTCTCAAGTGACTGCACAGGAAAACTGAAAAATGCTGAGTGATCCTTTGCAAACTAAACCCAAAACAAAACGTCCCCTGGCTGAGATAACTTCAAACCTCAACAAACTTATGTAGAGTGCTACAGAATTGGTAACAGCAATGTCTGTGCCCCAGGGAAATGAAGCCTTTCCAAATTATAAGATTTTATTAATTAGTATTGAGATCTCATTATCAATATGGAAAGTAGAAAAATACACACAAAAACCACTAGAACACTAGAAATGGAATGAATAATATCAGTTCGTCAACATCCCACAGATAAAAGGCACATGCTTTATTGCCATGCCTCTACTTTTTTTACAGCTAAATGTGTCTCACAATCTGAGGGCCCCCAATAACCCAGGGATTAATGAAAACCAAACAATGGGTAGAGGTCTCAAGAAAGGGCGGGATCCATCTGAACTGAAGGAGCCTGACAGTTATAAAATACAAGTTAAAGAAAACAGATGCTTCCTACCAAAAAGCACCTTCTATTTTTCTTGTTGTGGACTCCTGAAAAAAAATGCTTGCTGGCACTATTATAATTGACAAAGGATTTGCATCATTACATAAACAAATAAAATATAAGCTAGAGAAAACAGGAGCATAGTTATTCCCATTAAATAAAAGACTTGTCCATCTCACATCCTTTCACAGAGGGAGAAGCTTGCCATGTTCTCGGACTTGGCTGCATAGGGTTTTGTTACAAATTCACTCTGTCTGAGTGACCCTTCCAGTGATTGTTTGAGTGCAAGGCAACCCACTGCCAGAATGCTACCCAGGGCTACTCAGCCCCAGCCCGTTACATACCTCGTTTAATTGCTATCTGCGAAGACAATTTTAACTGGTTTCATATTGAGTTTCCCTTCAAGTGCTTAGCAGTAGGGACAACTGAAAATTGAGTTTCTTGAGTGAAAATGAAATCTAACAGGCCACAAGGGCTGCTCTCTGCCAATGACGTCTAGGACTGTCATCTCTGAAATGCCTTCCTGCCATGCGAGGCAGCTCAGTGCCAGAATATTTTCAGTAAAAGATTAGGGCTTGAGAATGTCCTCTGCACTGAAGCTTGAATTTAATAGTCTATAACCTTAGCTATTTTCATTAGTGATAATAATTAATTTGATTCTCTCCCAAATCATATGAAAATGAGATGCAGGGATCAACTTTTTAATATGCAGGGCTTGTGATATTATCAATAAGCTCTATCCCTAGTCCATTTGATAACATGTAATAAAGATTATGGAATACAGCAAACAGCACGTGAATGATTGTATAACTTGAACTTTTACACAGCACTTGATGTTCTTCTCATACCTGGAGTAGAATTTCCCTTGCTTGGCTCTCTGTTCATGCTGTAGCCTCATATTTTCTAGTTTCACTGGGCTTGGAATGAATCCGATTTCACAGCCTTCTTTAACCAATCGCCCTATCCACCAGTCATTGTTAAATTTCTAAACACAAAATCAGAATTAAGATCAGCACAGAGAAGTTCAAATCCTCAAATCGTTTCTTTTCCCCCGCATTAACTACTTTCAGTGGAGGGAACTATTGCAGCAATTACAATTAACTATGCTTCAACTATCACAGCTCAAAAATCCCTTAGGCTCACGGATTAAGTGTGTGAAAGTGAAGTATTTTTAGTTAACATGAATAATTCGACCGGTCTGAGTTCTAGCACAGCTGCTGCTGTCAACCGTGAGCTGGGTCCATTCTTCTTGTTCAAAGATTAATGGCAAGAAGGGACCTAACCTTCCTAACCTTATTAGGTCCCTTCCTAACAAGAGACCATTAAGAACCAGAGAGTGTTTGCATTAGAGCAAAATTTACCTTTGTACAAACATGTTTATAATTAGCAATGTATGGTGTTCACAGACGATTTCTCTATTTCTGCTGATGTTGAAAATTTCTCTCTTGTGGGTAGAATATTTTTCATAAACCTTTATGATTTGGTTTGATTTCCCTTAACTAAATAGCATTTTTCATGTCTAGTCTTGACCATTTTGAAGAAGATCGTCCATTCTGGTTTCTTTTCCTGTCATGGTGGAAAGGGATTCCTCTCCAAGCACCAGCTGTCAGGAGGAGACCCTGGATCAATTCTATTTCCTCTTACAAAGTCAGATTCTAGGCATGTCATCACTTCTGAAAACTCTGCCCTTCCTTCCTAGCCAATATTTCACATCTCTTTCTAAACATCAGTTAAATGGGAGACTCTAAATTCTCTAGGCTCTTTTAATAGGTAGTCATCACCGCTTTTGCTTATAGCCTTTAGTGCAGTGAACAGTTAGACTTACATATGTTCCCTGGGACATATCACCCCCCAGGTTCCAGCTGCAAGTTCCTACAAGTCTAAGGAAACGTCATGTTCACACACTGAGAACAGCATGCGGGGGGAGTTTCTGGCCATTTAATACAGTGTTCTACACAGTGAGCATTTGATAAATGTTGACTCAAAATAAACTTGCATTAAGGGTGAATTTGTCTAATTGACAGATTTGAGTCATTGTTAACTCAAAGGTGTTGACTTTTGGCAGGGAGGAAAGGGATTTTCTTGCCTTCTTGGCTTCAACTCCTTCCACTCACCCTTCCACAGCAGAAATCGATCATGGAAGGAGGATGGGGCATCAGTGGGCTGAGTTTACACACTGGCAGCATAGAGGAGAGGTCAGGAATTCTAGATATTATTATTAAACCGTCCCCAGATGGTTAAACTGAGATATGAGGGGGAAACGACACACAATCAAGGTTAAAAATTAAAATAAAAAGTATAGGTTAGGCATAGAAAGAAATCATCTCCTCCAGTAGTTCCCAATTTCTGGGCCACAGAGCCCAGGAGAGCCTTGAAGCTATCACAAGAGGCCTGCAACTGCTTTCTTCTTTATAAAGGTTATATTTGTATTAGAAAAGGTTAAGAGGCACTGATTTTGAGGGTATGTTCTACAACTGCAGCTTTATGTAATGCTATTTACAGCAATAAGAAATAAACGATGTTGCAAGGTAAAAAAACATTATGCAGACAGGAATTCAAATTATTTTCCTTACTTCCTTAACATGCAGAAAATCTTTTGCTTCGAATGAGATGGCCATGCCAGGCACTGGAACATCATCTTCATGGGCTGCACTGTAGCTGACATTTGTCCGAACTGCAAATGCAACAGGCTTTGTCTAAGAAGGCCAAAAAAAAAAAAAAAGGGAGAAAAAAATAAGAAACAAGTGTACAAACATACACTGAATAACTGATGGAACCATTGTTGTTTTTTCCACTTTAGGATTTATCACTAAACAGCTGATTAGCATTCAATACACATGAAATCTCTGTGCTCTCAGCTATACACCATGCATATCTGAACCAGAAAAAAGCCATTGTTCTCGCAGTACTTCAAGTAATGATGGTGAAGATGAACAAAGGAAGTATGTTTCTAACTTGACAGTATGAAGCAACTGGAAACCAGGAAACACACACAGAGATGAAATGTCCAGTTCTTTGGTTTCAGTGAAAAAGACTTAATAATGGCCACCCCCAAAACATCTTTAATTAATAACGAATGACATAGTTCCAAAAGGTGCAATGTTTTGGATGAAAACAGAACCACTGACTATACTTGCTGATTTATATGTAAGTGTTTGTGATAGAGATATGAGCAATGCTTGTTCATCCACAAGGTGAAAAAAATAGGTAAGCTCAGAAACAGTCAAAAGAGGTTTTGTTCTAATTGGCATTATGTTTGTTTCACCTTATGGCAAATGGATTTCTTCTACGCAGTTTTTCCCTACTCAACAAACTTTTTACCTGGACTTGTCCAGGAGGACAAGGGAGAAAAGGAATAGAAAAACCTACCTTCATTTCCAAATTTTCCACAGTTAATCCACTCTACCTGACTGCTGTCTAGGTTGAGGACTGAGCTAAAAGCTATGAAGTTACTCAGATTCATCCACAGAATGCAGATGGGAAACGAGGACTCAGTTCTGGAAATGGGCCCAATAGCCATGAAATGGTTTTTAAATGTTTGACATCCATTCTTGGTCCCCTTTATGATTTCTAATGATGTAAGAAGTGTTATTCCTCTGATGGAAATATGGGCTTTAAAAAAAAGTTGCCCATAGTCCTACCAGTGAAACATAATCCTTCATAGCATGATGGTGTTTCCATCTTTCCTTGAAATTTTAAAAAATACATAGATTTTATTCTATGTATTAAAATGAGTGTAATACATAGTTACACTCATAATATATTTAACTTTAATCCAGTGTTAAATGCATTACAGCCCTTTTCATACAATATACTTCTTTACCATTTACATAATTACTTCAACTGGTCACCCTTTTTTCACATGAAGGTTTTAACTTTTCCACTATGATAAATATTCTGCTTTGAAAAACTGTTGCACAAAAATCCTATTTCTACTTAGAATCCTTTCCCTGGGTTACATTCCCAGAGGTAGCATGAGTAAGTCATGATTTATCAGAACCTTTTTAAATTCTAGTCCAAACTAAGTTCAAATGGGCTGCACTATTTTGAACTTAATCAGCAGTGTATGACAGCACCTTTTTCTATAATAGAGTCCTAATCAGACTCAGTTTTAGGGCTAAAACTAAGATTTTCATGAGTAGATCTATCCATTATTCAGGAGAGCTCTAATCATAAAAATATAGATACAAGACCTTTTTTATGCTATCGTGATCTTTCATTTCTTGCAGGGTCTTTTATTCCTCGTAGGGTACAGAGATCAAGTGTGCTATATATTTTTTTTCATCACTAGAAGATATAAATCTTAAATGTACAACTCTACAGAGGAGCCCATGGAAAGTTTCATGTCTTTTATGCAATGATCAGCTTTTCAAACATTGGGGTAGCAGGAAGAGGGGGCACTGAAAAAAAAGAAAAAGAGGCAGGGAAAGTTAGCATATCAAAGCAGGTACTGCAGAGAGTAATGTTTTCTCAGGTTAAGACCAGTTCAGAATGTGCCTCCTTCCTGGGCTCACCTCCTACAACCAATTTGCTGCCACTAGATGTGGGGTTTATACAGGAATCACCTTTACAGAACTCATAGGTAGGAGAGCTGGACCATAAAACACCATCTCTCAATATCTTTACTTTAGGAACTATGTTTCTAAAATTAGAATGGACAACAGTCAAAGTGGAGGGGGAAAAAAGAGGTAGCCAAGGGAGCTTATCAGCTTGAGCGAAAGACCCCAGGATGTTAACCAAAGGGGCCAAATGACAGTATCATTTTTGATGCACTTTGGCTCTATCTCAAGCAGTATATCAAACAGGGAAGATATTTTCCACATCAATTCTATTCATGTGGGTTCAAGAACATGGAGTTGTGAATAGAACTGGATTTAAACGCTATCCTGCCATTCCTTAGGGGAGCTGCCTGGGCACATTCCTTACTCTCACTGAGCATGTTGGATCACGGCTAAAATGAGAGTAATTACACCAGCGTGCCAGGGTTGTTACAAGATTACAGAACATGCCAGGTCACAAGGCTAGGTTTGTGTTTGGTATAGACGGAAAGACATGAATGGGCACTTGTTACATACTGAAAGTAAATGCTATACGGAAATACGTGTTTCCCCACACGCCCGCATTATTAAGGCCCAGCACAAAGGATTTCCTCTGTGATCTTTCACTGTAACCCTCCTCAGACCGGACAAGACCAGACAGTTGCCACAGTTTTCTATCTGTCGTAGGCCCCATGCTGAATATAATACAAATAGGTTCAAGATGTTTTTCTCTCTTGTATATTCTTTCCCATTCTCTAAGATTGAGAATACGGTAAGGTTTACCCATAATCATTTTTCCCCTGTGTCCTATTTCTTTAATTCTCATTTTCTTTGATCACCATCAGATATGAAGTTTTTTTGCGGGGAGAGGATCGGGGGTGGGGGGAGTAACCAACTAGAAGTTCCTATGGAACCTCCATTAAGGAATCTTTGAGTTTTCATCCCGTGTAACCATTTTTTTTTATCAAGCATATCCCGCTTTCCATTGGCATCTGCATTTTGGGCCTACTCGCAGTATGGTCAACGGCCTCATAGGACTTTTCCTCTCTTCACTCAGGACTCTGCCCCGGTTCCCACTCACACCCTCACCCTCAGTTTGGAAGCCTGACACACTGTCAGGGTCTCCAGCATCAATTACCTCTGCAATCGGGGCCCCAGGACATGGCTCACTCCTCCCTTCCACTCTCACAGCCATTATAACAATTTGTGACTACCACTGATTCTTGGGGCTCTTATGTCTAGAGGTCAGTGGCCATTTACTCTCTCTCTTTGGCTCCCTAAGCAAAGTCCTGAGAAGAAACAGGAGCCCAGAAATGGTGGCCCTGCAGAGGCCTGACGGGAACACAGGGCAGAGTGGACGGTGGTGACAGGCTGAGCTCTAAGACACACTAGGACCCAAGACGTGTTCTGGGCCTCGAGAGAAGCAAAGCTGGTTAAGTCATCGAAAATAATGGTGAGCTCTGAGAAGTGGGTGTGCCCGGGTCTCAGGTTCCCTGTCAAGTTGTCCCTTGCCTGCCCTCTAACTCCAGGGCCTCCCAGGTGTGCCTGAAAGGCTTGGTCATAGCTGGAGGGGAAGAAAGTCAGAAAGCGCAAGTATAAAAATGGCTCACAGCGTAGAGGTCGGGTCCTATCATGATTGATCACTGTGGAATGGTACTTAGATCCAAATTCAGATTGAGACTTAGAGTCACCCAACGCTATAAAATTATTGGGATTAAAGGTGATTGGGAGACAACAGGATCCTTAATTCCACTTTATTTCCACCCCTTTAACATCAGGCCAGTGCCATAGCCCGTGTCCTCTGCTTTTGCGGCTATGGAGGGCTGCACCCGTGATACAGGTGCATTCTGTTCCACTCGTCTTTGCTGCGCACTCTCCTGTGTCAAGGTGAACCGATCAATTCCCTTGCCTTTCTTGATACCTGCCGTTGACATATGCTACAGAGTGTGAGGGTGGTGGGTAAACTTCTCATGCGTGGCAGCTTCCTTTCGCCACACAGAATTAAAGTTTGCCACATTCAGCTTGTGGACTAAACCTGAACAGATTCTCAGAATAAATTACCAGGTACCATTTTGTATAAGAGCAGCATCTCATTATCCAGACAATTATGCAACAGTGCTTAAAAAATACTAAGCCCGTGTCATTTCACCACAGTTAGCTTCAGTCTGTTTTCAAGTAATGAGTAAGTGACAGAATGGAATGAGTAAGCGACAGAGATGTAAAGGAACTTGTGTTTTCTTCTTCCCAGTCTTCACCTTCTATGTGGCACAACTTATAATTATAAAAGCTACTGCTTTGGGATGTTTGCAAGGTGCAGGGCAGTGTGCTCTGTATTATGCATAGACTGTCACATTTAAGTTAATTTCAGGAACAACTCTTTCCCAGGCGAGGAAACTGAGGCACAAAAAAGCTTTCCTGGGCCACAGTAATGGAGGTGGTATTCAAACCCAACTGTCTCACCCCGAAGCCTGAGCTCTTTGTGCAGTAGTAGACTACCCTTCATTCCAAGGGGATACATGGATGGCAGTGTGAGAGCACTTAGATGTTTGTGTGAAACCGTAAATACTTGAAAGTTATATTTTACAAAGTGCTCACCAACTGATTGGTATACAAAAATTTTAAAAGTTCAGCCTGAGTTTGCTCTGTAGCCTAACTTAGCCCCCCTTTTTAATGTAAAACACTAAATGAGCAGAGTTTTGTACGTTAGAACAATGGGCATTCATTATCAAGACATGCATTTCTGCATCTTGGCACTTAAATCAATATGTGACCCAATACTTAACAAACAAATGTCAAAACATGATTTTTATTTATTTGTACACGACTTTCTTCACATCCCTTTCCCATAACATAGAAAGCTCTATTTCAGGCAAAGAAAATTGAGATGTTAAAGCATACATATGTACTTCATGGCTTCCCAAGTGCCACAACGGACACTGCGTAGAGATCTGAAAGCCACAATTACTCTAGTTGCAGAGCATGAGAAAACACAGAAAATTCCTTAGAGAAAATGACCCGTGGGCTAACTTGAAGGATTTTAACTAGCCTTAAAGTTATATTGAGAGCATTCTAACTTTGCAGGTTTATTACTTGGGGGAAAATTCCTTTTTTATGTCCCTCTCCTGCAGCAGCTGTTGCTGCATCAGCTCTTTGCAACA